ACTGCCGCACCAGAAGCCAACTACTGCTCGTCAGTTGGAACGCGGAGGGACTGCGGAAGAAGGTTCCCGAGGTCTCCCGCTGGCTCTCTGACAGGAAGGTGGACGTGCTGGCGGTACAGGAGGCTCAGCTGCCGTCTGGCCGGAACATCGCCATCCCGGGGTACCAGGCGGCCGCGGTCGCAAGACGGGCGCAGGGCAGGAGACGGGACGGGCCGATCAAGGGTGGGGACGTCGCCATCTACGTTCGGGACGGCCTGTCCTACTCAACCATCGAGGCGTCCCCGCTCCTGCCCCAAGACACCACGACGGAATGGTGCGCCATCAAGATCATCCCGCACCAAATGCGAGGCCAGCCCTCAAGAGAGTCATCATCACTCGACATATACAACCTGTACCGCCCCCCGTCCCGACTGTCAGCTGAGGACGAGCGGGAAGACCACTTCTCTCTGGACATGTTCCCATCGCTACCCAACGTCATAGCCGTCGGAGACATCAACGGCCACCACCCCGTCTGGGATGTTAATTGTTCCGAACCGGACGCGGTGGGGACCCGGGTGAACGACTGGCTTGAGCTCCATCACTGGGTGACTCTCAACTCCGGCGCGGCCACCTGTGTCGGCTACGGGAACCGCACTCGACAGACCGCCCCGGACGTCGCGATGTGCTACCGCGACATGGCGGGCCGCTGCACGTGGACGGTCGGTGAGGACCTGGGGAGCGACCACCTCCCTCAGCTGATCCACACCTCGATCGGCGGCACGCGACCGAAGAGGATCCGCAAGAGCCGATGGGCCTTTCACAAGGCGGACTGGACTGGGTTCGCGGCTGACTGTGACGCGGCCCTCGCTGACCTGCGCCCGGACTCGCTGTCGGTGGAGGGCCTCAGCGAGCGGCTGGTGGCCGCGATCCTGTCCGCCAGCACCGCCCACGTCCCGCGGGGTGCGCGCGCCGACCCCAAGCCATGGGCGCTCGATCCGGACCTCGTGGCCGCGGTGGCGGAGCGCCGGGAGGCGAGGGACGCCCTCAAGGAGCACGACTCGGAGGAGGCGAGATCCAGATGGAAGACAGCCAAGAAGTCAGTTGCGACCATGGAGGCCGAAGCACAGAAAAGGAGCTTCCGCGAACTGGCGACCGGAGAACTGAACAAGCCGGCAGCCATAGGGAAGGTCACCAAGATCCTGCGGAAGATGGAGGGTGCTGCACCGGACGTCTGCCCAGACCGGGCCATCAACGGGGACTGCGGGCAACTGCTCGCGGAGGACCGGGCCAAGGCCGAGGCGTTCGTCCGCACGTACGCCCACGTCAGTAGAAACGTGCGCCAACCCAAGCGCGACCGGATCGTCAAGACGGAGCTCCGCGGCCTCAAGGCTGCCCCGTGCCGCTGCAGGGGACAGCGCACCGACCAGTGTCAACCCTTCACCGAACAGGAAATGTACGACCAAATCCGACACCTCGGGACGAAGAAGGCGCCAGGACCGGACCAGGTATGCACCGAACACCTGCGGCACCTCGGACCGACGGCCTACCGGACCCTTCTGGCACTCATCAACAGATCGTGGTCCAACTTCGAGACGCCCGCCTCATGGCGACGGGCGACCATCATCCCCATCTTGAAGGCCGGCAAAGACCCCAAACAAGTGGGCAGCTACCGCCCGATCGCGCTCACGAGTCACATCGCCAAGCTAGCGGAGCGGATGATCGCGGCCCGGACGACCTACCTCATCGAGCGAGACCGACTGGTGCCCCCCGAACAGGTCGGGTTCCGCCGCGGGAGGTCGGCGGAAGACAGTCTGGCCCGCTTGGTCCAAACCGTTCAAGATGGCTGGAATCGCCCCAAGCCGAGACGAGGCCCGGAGGATGGCGTGACGGCGGACCGCTTTGTCCTCCTGGCGTTCGACTTCTCCCGTGCCTATGACACGATCGATCACCGGATGTTGCACCTGAAGCTCCTCAAGCTCCTCCCCAGATGTCTCGCGACCTGGATATTCCGGTTCCTTCGCGACAGGCGGGCCCGCGTAGAGGTCAACGGCGCGCACAGCAGCGAGCGCGTGTTCCGCGCGGGCCTGCCGCAGGGCTCGGTCCTGGCACCGACCATCTACACGCTCTGGGCGGCGGACCTTATCGAGACCCTGCGGAACGCCTCGGACCGCACGGACGTCCTGATGTATGCGGACGACACGGCCACACTGAGCGCTGGAGCCACCGTAGAGCTCGCGGTGGCTCGCGCCCAGAAGTCGGCCGACGCCCTGGCCCGATGGGCAAGGCACTGGAAGATGTCCATCGCCGGACAGAAGACCCAGGCGCTGCTGCTGACTCAGCGGAGCAGGGACGAGCGTGGCGTGCAACTCCTGGTGAACGGCACGCAGGTCACCGGTGGCACCAGCCTACATCTTCTGGGGGTGACCTTCGACAGACTCCTACACTTTAAAGACCACTGCGACTCTCTGCGGCGGAAGGTCCGGCCGCGGACGGCACAGCTGCGGAGGATGACCGGCCGGACCTGGGGTCTCCGCGAGGCGCAGCTCAGGACAGTCGCGAACGGGTATGTCCGGGGAGCCCTTGAATACGCGGCGGGTGCCTGGCTCCCGGCCGCGTCCCCGTCACACGTTCAGCTGGTGGAGCGCGAACTGCTGGCGGCCGCCCGGGTGGTGACCGGATGCCCACGGTCCACCCCCAGGGACCCCCTGCTGGCCGAGGCAGGCATCCCTTCAGCATGGTCCACCAGGAAGACGCTGGCCGCGCGAACGCTCTGCCGAGCGCTCGCCCTGCCGGAGGACGACCCTCTTCGCCGCGTCGCGGAGGCCGACCCACCCACTCGACTGCGGTCTACCACCGGCTGGCGACATCTGGGGCGATCGGCGCTGATCGAGGCGGGCGCCGAGGGAGTGACGGTGGAGCCGCGCCTCGAGGTTCCCCTCCTCCCGTGGACAACCTGCCGCCCGATCGCCTTCAATCTGGACGTGGGACCCGGCGGTCGTCGAGCCTCCTCCAACGAGACGCGACGAGAGGCCGCGCGGCGGCACCTGGCGGCGCTCCCAGCCCAGGCCACGTGGATTTGGTCCGACGGCTCTGCGGACGCTGGGGTCAGGCGAGGAGGGGGCGGCGCCGTCATCTTTACCGCGTCGGGGGAGACTCTCGAGGTGGAGGTGGCGGCGGGAGGCCTCTGCTCCAGCACCCGTGCGGAGCTGTTCGCCCTGAGGGCGGCGCTGGAGCGAGTCCGGGATGAGCCGTCCCCCGCCCCGCTGGTGGCGTGCTCTGACTCACGAGCCGCCCTGAGCCTCCTCAGCGCGGGAGCGGCCGCCCAGACCACCACTATCGGCGCGGCGATCTGGAGGACGCTGCTGGACATTGCCGAGCGCCGGCAGGTGACCCTGCAGTGGGTCCCTGCTCACTGCGGGCTGGCGGAGAACGAGCGCGCTGACGCCCTGGCCAAACAAGCGGCCACCCTGCCCCAGGGCGCCGTGCCCTCGGACGCTCGGTCCCTGACACGGGCAGTTCATCGGACGGCCACACGTCAGTGGCGCGAAAACTGGCCCGACTCCTTCTTCAAGACTATCTTCGGGAGCACCCTGCCGCTCCCCATCCCCGGAGAGGACCGAGAGGCCGCCATCTCGGTGCACCAGTTGAGGGCGGGCCACTGGGGCCGCTCGCTCCAATACCTGCACCGGATCGGCCGCCACCCCTCCGTGGCATGCCTGCAGTGCCCCGATAAGCGGTGCCCCGCGGCGCTCTGCGCCGTGTGCCGGGAGGAGGCGGACGTGCCGGAGCACGTCTTGCTCCGCTGCCCGGCCCTCGCTGGCGCCCGCCTGCGGCTAACTGGCAGCATTTACATCGACCCGTCGCGGCTGCGGGACGCCGACCTGGTGGCTGCCTTGGAGGCCGGCTACCTTCGCCATAGGGAGCCTCTCGGCTATGGTCCTCCGTAAGGAGGTCCCAGGGGGAACAACAACAAACAACAACAGCTATTCCATTTTACACATATCCTGAAAATTTCATGACCCAGGACCCAGATGATCTTTAATCTGTAACCTGTCTCTCGAGAGCATGTTAGGCCGGAATGGCGATTCGGCGTATGTCGCTTCATATTAACTGCGCATTTCCAGTCTTGTGGTTGTAAATGTTTCAACATGTGTAATGGTGTTTGTCCCATGCATTATGGTTCAAGGTCACATGAAGATGAAGGCAATGTAAAGGCCATTGACCTTAGAGTAGTGTTTCAGGATAGTTTTCGAGCTAATTTTGAATTTAGCGCCTATTTGAACATCTAAGAAGTAGTTTTGGGGCTAAGTAGCATGTTGCGCAGCTGTCAGTGGTGGTTTACACCTACACTTGTATGGATAGCCAGCAGGACGCCTGCTGGTTGACCTGACATAACCTTACCCGACCCACTCTAAATGCATGAATACATCATAGTTGATCAAAACTAACATGAATTCGTAATCGGGATCCCGGAAAAACCATAAGAATCTTACTTTTGAGTTTGGAATATCACTCTAATCAAGTCAATCTCTCCAGCAAGTCCCGATTTCCCGATTATTGGGTCATTGACCTGACCTGGCAGGTCAACCATTGACCTACGACCTTAAAATTGGGTAGGTATCATCGGCTTCCTCTCATCACGGACAACACTTTCATTTTCCTCGCAAAGCTCTAGGTCGATCAGGGGCCGAACGGCTGGGGGTCCTACGTACCTCCCTCCCCTATACTGTAAAAGGCCAATGCGGGCGAGGGTTAATGAAAAATGGTCGCATAGCAGCAGTTTCAATATCATCGCGTTTCTTGTGTCCAGCCGGTCTAATAACATGCGCGTTGCCTGGGAACAGTTAGCTTGGATTTCGACCTCATTCAAGTCCGAAGGCCCAAAAGTCCGAATGTCGGGTCAAGGCCGGTCGGGTGAGGAGGTTTGTCCGAAGAGGTTGCTGTGCTGCCCTCTGCCCCGATCTTCTCCTTTGACCTGACCCGCTGACCTGACCTGACCTGACCCCGCTGCTCTCCCACAGCGGTGTCCGGAGCGGTGCGAGATGGACACCCAGCCGTACATCCGCACCATCGAGTGGGAGATGCTCGACAAGCGCAAGTTCATCCCCATGTCGATCGCCAGCTCGTTCAGCATCCGCTGCCTGCTCTACCCGTTCACCGTCATCAAGACGCGACTGCAGGTAGGCGCCACGTGTGGCCCGCGTGCCGTCAACTGGGCACGCCATTAAGGCCTGGCTACACTATGCGTTTTCTGCGTGCGTTTTTGCAGGTTTGGGTGTTTTGCGTAATATCGTTCTAGGAAAAAAGTTATAAACAATGTAATTTTTACTTTGGTTATATACAAAAGCTAATATAACTCTTATGTAACTAAAATTTAAGGTGAAAAACATCACAAAAACGTAATATCGCTCTTTTTTCTAGAACGATATCACGCAAAACACGCAAACACGCAAAAAACGCACGAAGAAAACGCATAGTGTAGCCAGACCTTTAGCCCTTGGAAGCAAAGTGTAGAACTAAGAGTAAGACCCGAAATCCCTGATCTCAGGGATGAATAGAGCAGCGTGTATTTTTCCGCAATTTAGCTTGATTAGCCACGTAATAAATGAGAAATCAACAATGAACCAAGCCGTGCGTTTATTCATTGCTGTACATTCATTCATTCATTCATTCATTCATTCATTCATTCATTCATTCATTCATTCATGCATTCATTCATTCATTCACTGTCTATTCATTGTCGACGCAATGCGCTCTCATTATCTCTGGCCGGATCCCTCCTCTCTGACCCCTCCCACTCTCCGCCTGCTCCCTTCCATTTGACCCTTCCCCTGTCCTTTAGCATCCCACCACCTGGCCACTTCCTCTCCTCTGACTTCCCCGCCTCTGACCGCCCCCGCCCCGCCCCTCCGTCAGATCCAGCACCACCACAGCGTCTACAGTGGCACGTTCGACGCCTTCCGCAAGACGTTCGTGCACGAGGGTGTGTCGGGCCTGTACCGCGGCTTCTGGGTGAGCGCGTTCCAGCTGGTCTCCGGCGTGGCCTACATCACCACCTACGAGACCGTGCGGCACGCGCTACAAAAGTGCGGCGTGCAGGTGAGACCGGCTCGCGGGCGTTTGGAACGGCCAAACGAGACGGAGCGGGCCCACAGATCTTGTGGATGCCTCTCACGGCGCCGGTGAATTATTTGATTCATCGTGTGTTAAAGTGAAGCGTCACCATTCTTTTAGATGATTTTAGAACTGTGTGCTGCGATCTGCTCGCCTGACCTTTGTGAAGGTCGGTGTGTGTTTATTGTTTATATAGCACAATAGTGTCGCAGCGTGGTTGGCGCCTGCACTTATCACCGCACTACCGTAGCTCTACTGCGTATCTCCGTCTTGCACATTGAATCAATGCCGACAATTCCATACCTATTGATAAGCGATTGACCGTACCAGAACGAAGCTGGATCAAAACATTGCTCTGACACACGGTTCACCTATTCTGGCCGCTATGTGCCAGTCCGCCGCCGCGCGGTGCCTCTAAACTACCCCCGCCCCCTGCGGTGGCGCCGGCCGCCGCGCGGTGCCTCTAACCTGAGCTCCGCTCTCTGGCCGCGCCCGCCGCCGCTGGCAGGACAGCCGCATGCGGGCGCTGGCCGGCGGCGGCGCCGCCTCGCTGGTCGGCCAGACCATCATCGTGCCGTTTGACGTCATCAGCCAGCACCTGATGGTGCTCGGCCAGGTGGAGGCGCGACCCGGCAAGAAGACGCGCAAACTCAACCCGCTGCGCATCCAGTACGAGAACATCTCCAAACGAAGGGTATGAGCGTGGAGCGTGGATGATGATGGCGATTTCGTTGTACCTACTTGATGGGTAATTGTTGTTGTTCTTACTCCACTGTTGTTTCTTTGGCTGCTTTGTTTTCGTAGGCAGCTATAAAATGAATTAAAGGGTATGATTATATGAATTATTACTACATTAATGAAGATATGGATGTATTAAAAAAAAGTTATTATTACTGTTATATAACTATTACTATTATAACTACCCATTATTTTTTATGGAGCACATCGCGTTGCATGGTGCATTGCGCTTGGCTGTAAATTTGGTAATATTTTTGTCTCCTTTTTCAGATAGCATTAGAAATTATCAAAGAAGTCTACAAACAAGACGGGCTACGGGGATTTTATCGGGGATACTTCGCCTCCATCTGTGCATATGTTCCTAACTCGGCATTATGGTGGAGTTTTTACCACTTTTACCAAGGTAATTACCAATGTTGCCTCTGCTCAGTTGAATATTTTATCATGTAAATTTTACGGTGTGCCTTAGTTCATTGACTCACGAAGGTCTTACCACAACAATGAGTGTGATTATCCCAGGTCCTAGACTCCTAATTTGCCTTATTCTATTAAGACTTTTTGAGCCTTTGCCAATATTAGCGTCATGTGCAATGGCTCGTTTTATGCACCTTTGTTCATCGTCCGATGCTGTTCGCTCATTGTTCGTTGATTGTAATCGGTGCCTTAGCTGGCCGGGGTCTCAGTTATGCATAATGTGTGCCTGCGTGGCGTTGCCATCGAATACCCAGAACTTGCATTTTTTCCTGTTACGTCTCAGTTTCACCAATGGATTATTTCAAATCACCCTGAGACCTTCTGGGCCTGAAAAAGTGGTGTGTGGTATGACTACCGCCTACCGGGCTGACCGCCGTCGTTTGTGTGTCCACAGAGCAGCTGGTGAAGGTGCTGCCACCTAGCCTGTGTCCCCTGCTGCTGATGCAGTGTCTCTCGGCGACGCTAGGCGGCGTCACCACCACCGCGCTGACCAACCCGCTCGACTGTGTCCGCGCACGGTACCAGGTCAGTCAGCAGCAGTGTGTCCAAAATTGTAATGTTGCGGGGAAATCCACCCATAATGAAAAGTATAATGACATCCTAAAAATAGAAATAAAGACATTCTCACGGCAGTCACAACTTAAAATATAACCTCGAACTTAAACTTTTAGGAGCAAGAGAAACACGAACCTCGCAAACTCTCAAAAGACGCCAAGACAACCATAATTCGAATAACCAAAATATTTGAATGTATGAACCGACTCAAAAACCTCTCCCGAATATCAGAATGCCTTCAAAATTTTATCAGTACCTATTCAATATTTCTACATCATTTTCTCGTGAAGTATATGAAAACGGCGACATATGTGTATGAAGAAAGGGTCAAAGTCAAGTTTTATGAAAAAACGACATCATTTCCGGCCTTTTTTCCACATCCTCCCCCTAACGTAAAATGAATTTAGCCACACTGGTCAGCAGTGGGACTGCCGTCCGGTCGGCGCGGCCACCGCGGGCGCCGCCGCTCGCCCGAGAAATGAGCATATCGAATTGGTTTCGAATTATGAGACGAGTTGTATTTCCATCGAATTCTTACATTTCTTTCCGCCCGTCCGTCAAGACTGGCTCAGCCTCGGCGGCGCACCAGGGTAGTCTCCCAAACCAATGTCTCCCTAATTCCAATCACCCTTCCGGTTGTGAAAAGGTCCTATTAGACCGTAATGACGTAACTACAAAACAAACACAATTATATTCATATTTATTGTACTCGTTGATATTACCTGTGTCACCCCGATGAAAGCGATTCCCAAATTAATTCGGAAGATACTTCATGACGTATATTTACTGCACATGTATATAGCGTGACCTGCGTTGTAGGGGCCGTCAGAACCATTGCATGTTACCGACTGCTGTCCTTTCTTTTTCGAAAAAGTCAGCGATTGTAAAAATGTGTTTCGTTTTTTTTTTTGTAGGCGGTTCTGTGGTAACCGTATGATGCACCTCTCATCCGAAGGTCCCATTCGGCTCGTTGCGGCGCATCGGGGCTTGTTATTGCAGGCGGGCGCCTGGTGTATGTCAGTGACGGCCAAAGGTCAGAGATGGTGTCTGGCGCCGCGGGTCTGACGCTGGAGCCGTCCACTGCGCGGACATCGCGGGGCTGTATGTACACGGGTCCGGTCTGAGGGACTGATAGCCCGGTGCACTCCGCTGGCCGTCGTGCTGTACCCCTTCTGCCCCCCCCCCCCCGACACACACATCTCCGCCGGCCCGGTCGGGCGGTTCGCCTATCCTATCTCCGGCCGCGGTCTGGTGGCTCCCGCGCCTCTCCGCTGACACGGAGTCCTCCCCCGGCCGGCAGATCCAGCGGGCGGGCACACTGCCGGAGACGGTCGGCGCGCTCTGGATGGAGGAGCGGTGGCGCATCTTCACCAAGGGCCTGTCGGCGCGGCTGCTCTCCTCAGTCACCTTCTCTTTCATGGTGGTGCTCGGCTACGAGTCGGTCAAACGCTGGAGCGTCCACGACGAGTTCAAGCCGTTTGTGCGCTGGTAGCCCCGCTAGTACCGCCGGTGCTCTGCAAAGTTCGGGTGGGCGGCCGCCAAGGCGCCCAGTCTTGGCACGGCGCAGTAGGATAGTTTGAACTCCGGGACGCTGCAAGCGGGAGCGGCAGCCGCCGCGGCTGTAGGCCCATCTCTGGTGTGTCGGCGGCAGGACATGACGCTCCTGTGTCAGACGTAGTGAGGCTAGCTCTCAAATGTGATCGATTCTGGTCGAATGGCGCCGCTGAGGTAGGGCTGACTGGCGCTGATGATATCAATCGTATTTATTGGACGTGATCGGTGCTAATTCGCCTGGAGCGCTCGCAACGACGGTCGAATCGTGTTACGGCCTTGACGCTGACGTTGAGTCTGTGACGAAGCTAGTTTTGCGATCGGTACGTATGATCGTACGTACTCCCCAATCAGTGAGCGTTGCGAGCTTGTTACGGTGGTTTCCGTTGCTCCCAGTTAGTGCCGAATCTGTTGGGTTTTACAGTAGCAGAGACACGCGCGTTTCTGATGTCGTTGACAGTAATATTTAGTGTCTGTACGATGTTGTACCACGCTACTCTCCGTTTTAGCTGGGTTACTGCTCTGAATGCAGCAGTCGTGTTCACCTCAATAGACCATTTTCAGCCCGATGTCAACTGTGGATTGTGGATGTGTGCACAGTGCTGTCAGTTGCCTTGATCTGGGAAATAATAGTTTGCGTCGGTACTTCCAGGCGCGCGGCTGGGAGCGGCTGTCACAGTGTCAGCGCCCCCGGCGGCACTGAGGGCCGCCCCTGGACGGCTCCCTGTGAGCCGGCGCCGCTGCTCAGGCCATACGGGTCAGCCGTGCGAGGCCGACCGGTCGCAGGTCGACCCCGCCCAATGTCAACTCACGTACAGTGGACGAGAGTGCCCTTCTCTGTGTGGGTGGAAACGATGACTTTATACGCCACTGAAATACATGCATTGTGAATGAGTCGGTATAGATCGTCTTTCACGGGGTAACAGTGGCTATTTTGCGTCCCCCTGTTCGGGTTGTTTCGGGTTCCAGTCCCCGTAATTCCATCACAGTGACGACGTGATGGCAGTGCAGCTCCTAATGCCATCTCAGTGACTGCGGTTCCGTGTCATGTTTCTGCACGACAGCCACGATTCCGAGGCTGCCGATCGCTCCTCGTCTGTGATAAACTGTCTCCCTTCCTCTACCCCTCCCCTCCCCAGAGTCCGTCCCCTCTCAGTGCTCGTCACTGCCTGGTGCTGCGACGCACCACGTCTGTCTCTATCTGCCTGTCTGTCCGCCCGTCCGTCGGTGGGGGAACTGCTGTGCCATCGGACGCGCGAACGAGGATGGGGGGGGGGGGGGGCGGATGCGTCAAATTACAAGTGGCTCCTTCCTGCTCTGTGGATAGCTGGACGTTTAATCGGATACCGCCGGCCAGCCTGGCCCACCATCGAGGAGGGTCCCCCTACCGAGCCGCAGTTGACCGATGTCCACAGTGTGACCTGCGGTGTGTGCTGGCGGGGAACGCTGAAAAAATTGCGCCCATGGAACGGTAGAACCGTAGCCAGTGCCTCGGCTTCCGATTGGTGAGAAATGAAGCAATGTGAACAAGATATTGCAGCGAGTGTTTATGATCGAGAGCCAGTGAGCCAGAGCTAGTACCTGGCGCTTTGTCTGACGTGACACTGTTACTCGTTTGGTTGCCTAGTCGCTTGTGTCCGCTCGAAGTTCACTTTAGTCCCCCTGCTCGATCATCTGCCCACCATTTCGACCCTTCTCGACGGTTGTAATGTGTATACATCGCCCTGGCTCTATGATCTGTCCACTTTTCCGCCCCTCGCAGCCATCTGACTCTTGTACCGCACACCCTCAGACGTGTCGCCGCCTGGAGCCCGTCTCGCGGGCGGCCGGTGTCTGTCCCGCCGACCGGCTGTGGACGGTCGGTGCGCACCGCCGGCAGCGGACGGACAGGCGGCAGTAGCCGGTGGTGTCGCCGACCGGGCGGTCATCCGCGCTCCGCTCCACACGGCGCTATGGCCGCGCCCGCCCCCCGCCTTCTGGTCTCAGCACTGCTGGCTATCGGCGCCGCCCGGCTGGTCTCAGGTGAGCTCATCTAGTCACAACGCTGCTGGCTCAACACCCTTGTAGTAAACTTCAGTTGACAGGTTATGAACACTTCGAGGTGAATCGACTATTTTAATGCAAACGATGAAAGTATTTTTATCGCGAGATTAAGTTCTATTATGATGATTATCGGAGTTTCTTTAAAAAGAATAGCGTATGAAAATATGTCGCTAAAACGGCTTTAGTGGGCTCAAGCGTGGTGCCATTCCATACTGGACTGTTGCAGTCGGGAGACGTTACGTATCTTAATTATGTCGGTCTTATTTTGAAACACGCTGGCTTCCAGTCTATGTGTTGTTATTTGGCTGCACATATGGGTAAGGAGTTCTCGCAACTTCATTGAGAATCGCATACGATTTGAGCTGTGTATCGCTGTCGAATCGTGGTCCTGTGATGTGTGCGTGGGACGCCGCTCTCAGCTCGTAATTTGTGTGACCCCGCTCGCAGTTTGATCGAATTCTTTATGACGTCGCTCGTAATTAGCTCGCACAGTACGAGGAGTACGCTCGTAGTGTACTCTGTGACGCCGCTCTCAGCTCGTACTCCGTGTGACGTCGATCACAATGATCATCAGCTCGTACTCCGTGAGTCCGTGTGAGGTCGCTCGCAGTTAGCTCGTACTCCGTGTGACGTCGATCACAATGATCAGCTCGTACTCCGTGAGTCCGTGTGAGGTCGCTCGCAGTTAGCTCGTACTCCGTGTGACGCCGATCACAATCAGCTCGTACTCCGTGTGATGCCACTAGCGGCTGGATCGTGCTACGATGGTTGCGCCTGTGTGATGCTTTTCACAATTATATGGTCCCAGTTGCCACACTAAGGTAGGTTATATTATTGTTGTTTAGCGATTGAACTTTACAATCAACATTGGAGTAGCCTAAAACGCAGTTATGTTAGTTTTGTCAAAGGGTTTTTAAGCCATCTGTGCTACTTGCTTCCAAAGGTATATCTTGCTGTGGCGATGTAATTTAGAAACGGCTCTATGATACTTCCTATCGACTGTTGTTTCACTTTTGTTTGTTTGCTTGTTTTGTTGGGTTAGGCCCTTTCGGTCCAATTAGACCATTTCAGAGCCGGGAGGATGTTAGGATATAGGGGGAGACATTGGTCTGGGCAGGCACCCTAGTGAGTCGCCGGGGCTGAGCCCGTCCAGAGGACAGGCCACCCAGCCCCAAGGCACTCACTGCACCCGGCTACGGGGTGCGCTCCCTCAGGAGCAGTGGTGCCGCTCCAAGGGAGCAGCCCGCATGAGATAAAGTTGCCTGTCCAGCCCGGAGGGGGGTTGCGGCGTGGAGGAGAAGGATTTCAGTATCCTGAGGATAGAAGCACGGAACGGGTGTTGTTTCACTCGCCGCATGGGGTTCTTACACCATCCGGCAGACGTCTGCAGTGTTGCTGCGGTTGCGTTCTTGATACGGTTGCAGGTATCAGGACAGGCGACTTGGCCTCCGCTGGGCGGCCGGCGCTGTTTATCGGACCGGAGGGCCATGTGGCTGGGTCTGTGGCCGGCCCGGACCCCTGTCCGTGCCGCCCGGCGCCGGGTACCGGCGGGCACGTGCCAGGCGCCGCGGAGCTGACCGCCGACATAAACAGGGCGCCCGGCCGACCTCTGACCGGCCAGCTGCGCGTCAGTGGCGCCCGGACCCCGGCGAGCTGCGCTGCGTCCGGCACCGCGGGTCCGCCTCAGCGCCCGTCGACCGTCACAGGGTGTCCTCCCTCCCCCCGACCGTCACAGCGCCCCCCGACGGTCACAGCCCCCCCCCCCCCGACCGTCACAGGGCGCCCGCCGCCCGCCGCCCGCCAACAGGGCACCGCCCGCCGACCGTCACAGCGCCCCCCCCCCCCTCCTCAACGGTCATAGAGCTCCCGTCGATGGTCACAGGGCGCCCGCCAAACGGTCACGGGGCGCCCTTTAGTTACTAGATAATACACAGCACTGCATCATATTCCCATGTTACAACGCAGTTTATTATGATTTTTTCAGGATCCAAAATTGTGCTGGCAGCCTTGATTGTTCCTAGGAAATCTGCTGTTTTTAAGCTTGCTAAAATACTCATTCAAAATTGTTAGCAAATTAGTGGGAACATGCATACATGAAGGACAAGGGGTCCCGGGTCATCTACGGACTGTGTGCATATGTTATCACTGGTACCCGTGTGCCGCAGGCACGCCATGCCCGGCCGACTGGCTGCAGAGCGGAGCCTGGTGCTACCTGACCAATACCTCGAGCACGCTGAGCTGGGCCGGCGCTCAGGAGCACTGCCAGGTGGGTCTGCCGGCGTCAGCATCAGTGTGGGTTGGCGGGCGTCAGGATCAGTGTGGGTCTGCTGGTATCAGGAACAGAAGGGCCATGTTGGTACCAGAGTCTGAACATGTAACTGGGGCCTGTGATGGAAGGTGTCTCTGTCTATGTCTTCACTCTTCAGTTTTACTTTCGAATCGTGTTCCTCAACAGCCACCGGCGCTGTCTCCCCAATAAAATTTTCGCCGCCCCTCAAGGCAGCCTTTCGCATCAACGTCCGTTTGCGACATATGTAGTTGGGGAGTCTTTGCACAGACAGTTCCCCTGAAGGTTGTTTCTGGCCGCCGCGACATACAAAGAGACCCTCAGCGGGAGGCAGTTTCTGACCGCGGTGTGCGACATAGCGGCAGCTTCTGACCGCCGGTGTGCGACATAACGGCAGTTTCTAACCCCGGTGCGACTTAGAGGCAGTTTCTGACCCCGGTGCGACTTAGAGGCAGTTTCTGACCCCGGTGTGTGCCCGTCGACAGGAGCACGGCGGCTCTCTGGTGATGATGGAGGACCGTAGCAAACTACTGGACGTGGTCGACCTGCTCAAAGGTGAGACCGACACGAGGTCGTGTGTATTACTCGGCGCGAGTCGATCCCTAACAGAGTGGACCACTAACAGCGCGGAGATCAGACGGGTAAGGTCGACTCGTTGGCCGTCTGGTGTGAATGCGGTGTGGCGGTAGTGTAGTACAGCATGGCCACACTAAGAGTGGCACTAACTGGGATACAGTGGATTCTGGACAACATGGTCACTTGACATGCTGAGCTTTGTACCGGGTTTTCTCACCCCGACCTGTAGCCGTTTTGTCTTTCAGTGTTCTCACGGCTTAAACTGCCCTTGGCGGAGCTTAGATAGATAATGGGGCAAATGCACGTCGTCAATGTGCCAGTGACTGGTGCACGAGGTGGTCTGTTTGGGTTACTTCTGTCGGCTCAGAGGTGCCCTGGGGTGTCTCGGCGGCGCGGGGAGGAGCCCGGCGGGAGCGAGGCGGCGGGCCTGGGGCCGCTGTCTGGACCCGGGCCGCTCTCGGCTCCCCCGGCCGTCCTGTGCCCGTGCAGCGGCTCACGGTGTGGGGCCGCGGCGGCAGGTCTGAACTCTGCCCCGGCCGCGCCGGTGCCGGCGCCGCTGCCGCTGCGGTGGACCGACGTCCCGCAGATGCCGCCGCTGCCTCCGGACGAGCACCGCCGGCTGCTTTCACTGCTCAGCGGACCGGCCGCGCTGGGTTACGGTGAGACTGGCCGACCCCTGCATCCCAGTCTTTCCCTGCCTCCCAGTCGTCCCTGCCTCTAGACCGGCCCTAGCCTCCCGACCACTACCTCCCAGCCGGCCCCCTGCCCCCGGACCTCTGCCTCCCGGCCCTGCCTCCCGACCTGCCTCTCAGCCGGCCCTTGCCTCCCGACCCCTGCCTCCCGACCTGTCGTCCCTGCCTCTAGACTGACTCCTTCCTCCCGACCTCTGCCTTCCTACCCCTGCCTCCCGACCCCTGCCTCCTAGCCAGCCCCCTGCCTCCCAGTCGTCCCTGCCTCTAGACCGGCCCTGCCTCCCGACCCTGCCTCCCAGCCGGCCCTGCATGACCCGGGTAGAAGATAGCGGCTCTATGATCGATGACTATAGACCTCCTCTGCTGTGCCGGTGTCAGACACTAGTCACACACGCAGTAACTACGCGTCCCCTGATTGGCTCGTCTGGGGTACGGTGCTGCCTCCACGGTCCACTGACGCGCGGTGTCCCTGTTCCAGCCGTGGGCCTCGAGAGACGCTGGTGGATTGGCATACGCAAGACGTCCGGAACCACCAGCATGGAGGAGAGGCAGGACGGCGCCTTCGACAACTTCGGCGAGGAGAAAGTGATTAAAAGTAGGTTTAGTGTGTTAGCTTCTTTGCAATAATAAAAACGTACGGTAACATAACTCAAAGGCATATTAGCTTGTAGAAATAGACAAGGATCATCTCATAGCCTGGGGCAGATTGCGTGTAGTTTTTTAAGTAGGCTGTACGGTGACCGGGGACGACCTGGCGGTTGCTTGTTTGTTTTGTTGGGTTAGGCCCTTTCGGTCGACAAGACCATTGCAGAGCCGGAAGGATGATAGGAATTAGGGGGAGACATTGGTCTGGGCAGGCACCCTAATGAGTCGCCGGGGCTGAGCCCGTCCGAAGACAGGCCACCCAGCCCCAAGGCACTCACTGCACCCGGCTACGGGGTGCGCTCCCTCGGGAGCAGCGGTGCCGCTCCAAGGGAGCAGCCCGCATGAGATAAAGTTGCCTGTCCAGCCCGGAGGGGGGTTGCGGCGTGGAGGAGAAGGATTTCGGTTTCCTGAGGATAGAAGCATGGAACGGTGGCGGTTGCAGATATGGCGGCTCTTTAGCCGGAGATGGTATGCCCTCAATGGAGGGAACTTCCCACTACAACAATTTGAACAAAGGACTATCACTTTCAGAGCTAAAGGAGCTTACTTATGTATAGTACGAAGAACGACTGTTACAACTGGGCATATTTACTTCGTAAACCTACTGTAACGACGGAGCGTAGCCGTTTTAAAAGTAAAAACTATCACACCGTGGTGCGCGCGGCGCTGTCGACAGACGCCAGTTCCGGCGAATCGGGCGCTCACCAGTGCGTCTTCCTGACGGCCGCCGACGGCTTCTGGTACTGGACCGCCTGCGACACGCCGCTCAACTACGTCTGCCAGAAGGCGGCCGACCGCGTCCAGGTGGCCGTGGTCAGTACAGACACCGACGGTAGCGGCCGTGGTCAGTACAGACACCGGGGGTAGCGGCCGTGGTCAGTACAGACACCGGGGGTAGCAGCCGTGGTCAGTACAGATGCCGGGGGTAGCGGTCGTCATGGGGCGTAGTGCATGCTGACCAGTAGAGTTTTTGGTTTAAACATTGAACGGCTTTGCTATGTGATCCGATTTTGTTGGTCGTGGTGTGCCGTGCTGTGTGGTGGAGCACTGTGCTGCGTGAATGCCAGTGTGAAGTAACGTTTGGTGCCTCGCCGTACGTCGCCCCACGGTTATTGCACGGACCGCCTCTCCACCCGTCCGTTTGCCGTCCCGTGTCGCCAGGTGAGTCCGGACCGCCAGCGGCCCGACCCGGTCTGGCTGCGCGCCCACGAGGCCGCGCTGCTGGCCGGCCTGCGCCCCGCCGACGACTCCACCGACGACAAGGGCGAGTACAGCGCCTCCAAGGCGACCATGACGCCGATACCGCCGCCCTCCACCACCACGCCGCTGCCGCCGACGCTGGGACCGGCGCCGTCGGGCGGCGGCGGCTCGACGGCGGCGCCGGCCACCACCACCCCGTCGCCGTGCACCGGGGAGAACTGGTGGCTGCTCACCAGCCGCTGTCATCATGTGAGTGCCGCCGCGCCGCTCAGCCAACCGGGGCGTGACACCGGCGCAGTCACACAGCGTGGCATCAGCTCGTATCGTCGATTTGACTTGCCGATATCAGACAATGTGGTCCTAACACTGGCTTCCCCTGGTGTACATAACATAAAACTACTTGGTTATGGATTTATTTTTCATGTATGCATTTGTGGTTCTCGAAAATCACACACATTGTTTGTCGATATATTTGAATGTTGGGTATCTTTAGATGCTTTGATAAAACCTGGGTCACTCTGAATCAAGATCACTGACTCAACTCCTGTCCAGTCTCCCTGATATTTTTCGAACATTTCTCCATTTTACGTAGATCTTCCTGGACGCCAAGAGCTACGCGGAGGCGGAGCAGTCGTGCGCGGACAAGGGCGGCCACCTGGCGCAGTTCGACAGCGAGGAGGCTCAAAGGACGTTCCGGTAAGACCATCCGTGTTTCCTAAAATTTATCGTTATTCATTCTCCGCTGCCCGATCATATTACATATGATTGCCTGAACTTCTGCGAGCTGAGCAAACAGCATCACTTTACACTTTTGGCATAGGTAAACAATTACCCTGGAACATACTGGAGTAGGCCTCTGAGGCACGTATCGACACGTCTAGTAACATCCATGAGTGCTCTCCGTGCGGCCGATCTGACCCACACCCCTCCGTCCGCTTCTATCGGGCAGGGCGCGCTACCAGCTCATCTCGGGCTCGGTGTGGATCGGTCTGTCGCGGCCCGACCAGCGCTCCGACTTCCGCTGGGCCAGCGGCGGCCAGCCGGCGTTCGCCGCCTGGGCACCCGGTCACCCGAACGCCAACCGTACCTGTGTCACACTCGACCTGAGAACGGTGAGCCAGGCTGAGGGACGGGACACGGGACACGGGGCGAAGGTGAGACACGGGCCGGGGTACAAGGTGGACATGGGACGGGACGGTGTGGGACATGGGAGATGACTGTTTGGGACACGGCGAAACCGAATGCGTAGTATTACACAAGTTGGTGCACGACGCGGGGCGGAACACGGCACGGGAAAGATGCGGGGACACTGAATTTGTCATTTGCTCTGCAGCCACCGTCTGCAATGAATCCCGTCGGGCCGCGCTAGTGAAAGGTCTTGTGTATTGAAACCGTCATTCGCGATGTCCAAGTGACGGGCTGAGCCTAGGCAGAGTTGGCCTACGTTACGTTATTTTGAAGTTTTCGGTAACCCGTAGCTGTCAGTACCGTTTCGTAGCGTAATTGGGATGTTTCGGTAGCGTAGTATGGAAAATAATAGAATAACGTAGGAACTGCGAAATGGATTCCGTAGCAATTACAGGTCAGCTGTATTTGTATAAGGTACATAATTTTTTTCAGTTTACTCATATCGTCACCAGGTCGGGAGGCAGGGGTAGGAAGGCAGAGGTCGGGAGGAAGGAGTCAGTCTAGAGGCCGTTTACACGGATGTGAGACGCCTGCTATATGAATACCACTTAGTCTTTCTTCCGGCCGGACCGACACCGAGGATTTCCCACTGGGGAGTCCCATGGAATTCCCTGTCGGAAGTCCAGCGCATCTAGCGAGTAGCGCGTAGGCACCGCCGCACCGACGATGCTGCAAAGCCGGCGATCAATTGTGCGCAGTTACAGTATTTGGCTTACTAGAGACTAACCGTTTCCACTGGGTAGTGGATGATGACATATTGCATAACGTAGTACGATAAAATAATTTGCTGCGTTAATTAACAAATACCGTAATTCAGTAACGTAGCAATATATAACGTATCGTAATTCGGTATCGTAGTTTTGGCCAAAAAGCGAACGTAGCGTAACGTAGTGCGTAACGTAGCGTAGCGCAGGCCAACTCTGAGCCTAGGTGGTCACGTTCGCTGTTACTTTCCTTTCCAGGCGAAGTGGTTGTCTACCGATTGTGCGACGAAAAAGCCGTTCGCCTGCTGCCGGAGTGTGGACGCCACTGAGCGCCCGCCGACAGTGACCACCACACCGGCCCCTGGTCAGTATCAGTATCACTACCCTGGCCCCCGGTCAGTATCAGTATCACTACCCTGGCCCCTGGTCAGTATCAGTATCACTACCCTGGCCCCCGGTCAGTATCAGTATCACCACCCTGGCCCCCGGTCAGTATCACCACAGCGGCCCCTGATCAGTATCAGTATCACCACACCGGCCCCTGGTCAGTATCAGTATCACCACAGCGGTCTCTGATCAGTATCAGTATCACCATACCGGCATCTCGTCAGTATCGGTATCACCACACCGCCCATGGTCACTGCTCAGTATCAGTATCACCACACCGGCCCCTGGTCAGTATCAGTATCACCACACCGGCCCCTGGTCAGTATCAGTATCACTACCCTAGCCCCGGTCAGTATCAGTATCACCACACCGCCCATGGTCACTGCTCAGTATCAGTATCATCACACCGGTCTCTGATCAGTATCAGTATCACCATACCGGCATCTCGTCAGTATCAGTATCACCACAGCGGCCCCTGGTCAGTATCAGTATCACCACACCGACCCCTGGTCAGTATCAGTATCACTACCTAGTTAGCCCCTGGTCAGTATCGTCAGTATCGTTTGCCAATGTTTGACGGATGTCCATCGTGTTTCGACGGTGACCTCTCAGCGGCCCATTCCCCCTCCCTACATCCGTTCTACTAGTCACCAATCAGCCACCAATCAGTGAGGCACTTGTGCCACTCAGGACCCCAGCCTCCGTGCCCGGCCGCGCGCCATCTGTCGCATGGCGCCGGATGTGCGCAGCTATGTGTCCGCAGCCGCGGATATGTGTCGGGGAACAGCGTTGTTTCTCGGCGTATTAGCAACCAATGACTTTCGGTGATAATAATTGGACTCCGTTTTGACTTGATGGAGGTGAAATTATTTGGTTATAATTTTGACATGTGGGTACCTTTTGTGAGTCGAAACTAAGGTCCGAGTGACAGTGAAGCAAAGAGTGTCGTCAAGGTGTCCAGCAGGTGTAGGGTCACGGCTCACCACTATCAGCGGCACGTGCCATATCGTTGTTAGTAGTTCCCCGACTAAAGATTAGCTCCCCGATCTCGTCCGTATTTAGCGCATGTATCGGTTGGGGGCCCAGAGTACCAGTATTTCTCCAGCGCCCCGCACGTCTCCGTGCGGCAGTGTCGGCCGGCCGGCGGTGGTCTCCAGCTCTCCCTCACACCTCCGTGCACTCCGGCAGTGTCAGCGGCCTGCGGCGGCGGCGACTGGTGGCAGTTCGGCTCCACCTGCCTGCTGCTCGTCTCCAACTCCCCGGCCAGCTGGCACGCCTCGGAACTCGACTGCCGCGGCCGCGGCGGCACGCTCGTCAAAGTCACCAGCGTCGCACTCAACCAGCACATCCGGGGAAAGGTGAGCGGGCACAGATAAAATGTGCTTTGTGAACACAGGCTACCTTCAGTCGGCTTATCACGTTGACAGTTCCTACTGCCTAGTGTAGTAGGTTGAAACCTTAATGTGGTACGAACCATCCAGTGACCAATGAGTGTCTGATGCGCTTGCTGACAAGCACCGCGTGGTGGCTGCTCACCACCGGCCGCCCTCTCCGCGTGCCGGAGACGGCCGACCGGAGCGCCCGTGCCCCCGTCTGACGGCACATCTGTGCCCGCAGCTGAGCGGAGTCTCTGCGTGGATCGGTCTGACCAAGCTGAACTCGGCCAGCGCCTACCGCTGGACGGACGGCTCGGCGGTGGCGTTCGCCAACTGGTCGGGCGCCTCGACCACCGGCACAGGTGGGATTCTGACCGTCCCTCCCTCCCTCCCTCCCTCCCTGGCCGTCCCTGGCGGTCTTCATCGTCCCCGCCCAGCCCGATGAATGTGTACACTCGAGTGCCATTGACTGTGTGTGTGCCGCCGCCAGTGTGGTCGGCGCTCGCTGCTTTGCGCTCTCTTCTCATGCTGTCCGCTAACCGGCCGTCCCGGTCCGCCCTGATCTGCCAGACATGGCCAGCTGCGCGCTGCTGGACGGCGGCCACGGCTACTGGCGCGCCGTCAACTGTAACGCGCCGCAGCCGCACGTCTGCCAGCGGCCCGTGTACGGCGGCCGGCCGCAGCTGGCGCCGCCCGAGCAGCCGGCGCCGCGCTCCAGCTGCCCCGACAGCTGGCAGTCGTACGGCGTCGACCGCTGCCTGCGGCTCGTCAACCGCAACATGAGCTGGACAGAGGCGCGCCAGTGGTGCCGCGACCAGGCCGACGGTGGCGACCTGATCAGCGTTCCCAACGCCGTCTACCAGGGTCAGTCGACCGGTCGCACGGGCTCAGATACCGGGGTCACACGGGCTCAGATACAAGTCATACGAGGTCAATTTTCGGGATCGCGCGGGATCACTTACTGTGGTTGCATGTGGTCAGTTGCTGGTGTAAGGGGGGTATGATGCTGTGGTCACTGGCCACGTGACCACAGCTGGTCACGTAACCGTCAGTGGAGTCAGTTGAACTCCCACCGAGTCGACCACGACCTTCCACCCAAAGTGATCTGACCCCGCCCGTCCGTCCTGCCGGCAGCATTCCTCACCTCTGCCGTGCGCGGCTCCAAGGCGAACCTGTGGATCAGCCTATCGTACGACGAGGTGGACCACCAGCGCTTCCTCACCTGGACCGACGAGACACCGGTCAACTACACCAACTGGGCGCCTGGACAGCCGTCCACGCTGGTAAGACGGGCACCTGGACAGCCGTCCACGCTGGTAAGGCGGGCGCCTGGACAGCCGTCCACGCTGGTAAGACGGGCGTCTGGACAGCCGTCCACGCTGGTAAGACGGGCACCTGGACAGCCGTCCACGCTGGTAAGGTGGGCACCTGGACAGCCGTCCACGCTGGTAAGACGGGCGCCTGGACAGCCGTCCACGCTGGTAAGACGGGCACCTGGACAGCCGTCCATGCTGGTAAGACGGGCACCTGGACAGCCGTCCACGCTGGTAAGAATTCAGTCGCCTATCATAGTGTCACAGTTAATTCTTCTTCCCCTTCCCCCCCCCCCCCCCCCCGGAAAGTGTGGCCGTATATTTCCGCTGATCCACTCTCAGTATTGTGACAGCTGAGTCCCGTCCCTCAGTATTGTGACAGCTGAGTCCCGTCCGTCCCTCAGTATTGCGGCAGCTGAGTCCCGTCCCTCAGTATTGTGACAGCTGAGTCCCGTCCGTCCCTCAGTATTGCGGCAGCTGAGTCCCGTCCCTCAGTATTGTGACAGCTGAGTGCCGTCCCTCATTATTGTGACAGCTGAGTCCCGTCCCTCAGTATTGTGACAGCTGAGTCCCGTCCCTCAGTATTGTGACAGCTGAGTCCCGTCCCTCAGTATTGTGACAGCTGAGTACCGTCCCTCAGTATTGCGGCAGCTGAGTCCCGTCCCTCAGTATTATGACAGCTGAGTGCCGTCCCTCAGTATTGTGACAGCTGAGTACCGTCCCTCAGTATTGCGGCAGCTGAGTCCCGTCCCTCAGTATTGTGACAGCTGAGTGCCGTCCCTCAGTATTGTGACACTCGAGTCCTGCTCCTCGCGACAGTGATAGCCCAGTCATGTCCGTCTCGACAATGTAACATCGGAACTCCGTTTCTCCCGACAGTGTGACAGCCGAGTCCCGCTCCTCCCGACAGTGTGACAGCCGAGTCCCGCTCCTCCCGACAGTGTGACAGCCGAGCCCCGCTCCTCCCGACAGTGTGACAGCCGAGCCCCGCTCCTCCCGACAGTGTGACAGCCGAGTCCCGCTCCTCCCGACAGTGTGACACCTGTCCCAAGACGTGCGGCGTGATCGACGGCAGGCGCACCACCAGCGCCGCCACATGGAGCGACGTCGACTGCTCCATGCGGTACGGCGCTGTGTGCCAGCGGCCGGCCACGCCCAACAACTCGCTGGTCATCACACAGACGTTCTGCAACAACACCAATTCGTACGTGGCCACCGGCGGCTCGTGCTACAAGGTGAGATCTCACTGTCACGCCGGTATCAGTCCGCTGTCAGATGACACACTGGTGAACCACAGTTGAGTGTCACTGCTCAACAGATATTGACAGTTCTACATGTCGAAAAGATTACAGATGTGCTGGCGGTGGACGTGTGCTGAGACCCTGATGATCATGTGGTCGTTTTGGGCAGGTCAGCCACGACTCGAAGACGTGGCACGACGCGACCGACGTGTGCCAGGCGGACGGCGGCGCGCTGGCTTATGTCGGAGACCTGTTCGACAACGCTGAGCTGGTGAAGCTGCTGTTCCGGCACAGCAGCGACGTGTACTGGCTGGGCCTTAGCGATACCGCGGTGCGTACCAGGGGCATGTAGGGCATAGGTGCAGATCAGCGGTCAGGCAGCGATCTCAGTTGACATATCGCCACTACTGTGGCCTGACAGGGACGGAAGCAGCGCAAAGTAGATGTAAAAGCGTGGGAGCAGTGTCCATTTGGGGCCGAGAGAACTCCACCATACCTCGAATTTCTGGAGCAGCTTGCGATTCTCTGGATTCTCTACATTGGTTGTATCTTCATGCCAAGTATGCCTTTGCAGCGTGCGCGGATCATGAGCGATACTGATCGCCGTTCTGACAGCCAGCAGACTGACTCAGAGTCTTCCTCCACTCGGCAGCGTCACGGGATGATGGAGTGGACCAGCCCGTGGCCGCCGGTCGCCACATTTGTCAACTGGGACCCCGACTACTCGCGCAAGCCGACGCGCGACTCGTGCGCCGCGTTTGTGCCCACCTCGGGCCGGTGGCAGCACCGCGACTGCGCGCTGGAGCGGCACCCGTTCGTGTGCCAGGTGGCGCCCGAGCGGCAGGCGGCTGCCCAGCCCGGGGGCCGCTGCTCGGCCGTCGAGGGCTGGATCGCCGGCGACTCGCGCTGCTACCGCGCCTTCGAGCCGAGCGGCGCCGGCTTCAACTGGACAGAGGCCAAGACTGGGTGAGCCGCGCACGGTGGCGCTCTTACAGAGAGGAAGAGGTCGTTCTAGCGGGGCGGGGGAGGGGTGAGGAGGACGGGTAGCTGTGCTTGGAGAGAGAGAGAGAGAGAGCTGGTAGAGGACTACACAGATATGGGGGATGCCGGAACGTGAGAATGATTTGGGGAAGTTCCACGTTGCCTATTAGCTATGTATCCGTGTCATCAACAACTGTGTGTTACCCACTGAGTTTCCGTGTCCGTGTTTCAGCTGTGAACAGCGCGGCTACCAGCTGGCCACTGTCTCGTCCGTCACCGACTTCTGGGCCACCCGGGACGCCGTGCAGACGCTCTCCTCGCGGCTCAGCGCCTGGATCGGACTCAGCAGTCGGCAGAATAAAGGTAGGCACTAGTTGGACGGACCCAGCAGCCGGCAGAACAAAGGTATGTGCTCGAAGGACGGACTGAGCAGCCAGCAGAACAGAGGTAGATGGTAGCTACCAGGGACGGGCCCGGCGCGCTAGCCCGCCGGTCACTGATCGGACACACTCTGACAGTAGAGATGTGGGCGACTCTCCATTGATAAAATACAGCTGTCGAACGGCGGCAGCTCCGGTGGCGTCCAGCCAGCCCACTAGCAGTTCCATCGCTGCTTACTGATGACAGATAACATGTGTACGAGTCCCGTGGCCCAGCACCCCCACTAATGGTTCCCTCGCTCTCCTCTCTGGCAGAGTACAGCTGGGCGGACGGCAGCCCGATGGTACATACCTAGCTGACTGTTCCCTCTCCTCTCATTAACAGAGTACAACTGGGCGGACGGCAGCCCGATGGCGTACCGGGCGTGGCAGCGCAGTGAGCCCACCCGGCCGGCCGGCTGTGTGCAGGTGTCCCGACACATGAACGGCCGGTGGGAGACGGTCGACTGCGGCCGCCGGACGGCCTACATCTGCATGAAGGGTGAGCCTACTCAGGGGATCCACGGAGCACGATAGTCCGCGTGTCTTAGTTGTGCGGTGGGTCCCGCCGGTTTGGAGGGCGGAGCGAGGTGTGGTGTTTGAATTACCTTCCCCTCAGGGTCGTTAGTTTTGCTCGAGGATGACTGTCACACACAGGCCAGACATTCGAGAATGACTAACACTTGATGAGTGGTGAAATATGATGATGATCTGATTTTTCTGCATTTGCTGTCAGTTACTCTCCGTGTGTTTAAACAATCAGTTCACCGTCCAAACATAGTTAGTCCACTGTCCAGTCAAACTAACGACCGATACCGTTTTCCAGCAATGAAAGGACCTGGCGCAGGTGCCATCACGGGTGGAGGTAAGCATAGCTATCACTTCGAATCCTATTCTTGGATGCGCCTTTAAATGGAACTCATTAAGATTAAAGAAGCATTTAAAAATCGACGTCGCTCCCGAGATCTGATAGCGCAGGCAGAGCACTGATCAATGAGCATGCAAGAAGCAATGTTCATATTCGACAGATCACAGACTGGTTACTGTTTAGGAAGCGTGCAAATCCCACATCACAGCCTTGTGGTAGAGAGTTCAACCATTCGTAACTTTACCATACCAAAGTGCTTCTCAAATCCACGACCATTCCCACTTGTGAACTGGCGCTCTCTGCCCTATGCATTAGCACAATTGCTCCCGATTGAGTTTCGCGAGGGCACCGTAATATCTTCCACTGGCCACCGACTGACTGTGGTGGCCCCTGACCGGCTTATTACGTTGACGCCCGACTGGCTGTGCTTTGGACCCCGGCCGGCTGAGCGCTGACCCGGTCGACTATCCCTGATCTGTCCGCGGACAGCTGTGTGTTGACCCCCGGCCGACTATCCCTGACCTGTCCGCGGCCGGCTGCGGCAGAGAGCTCCGGCGGCGGCGGCGGCGGCTGGACGGCGTTCGGCGTGGTGGTGCTGGTGCTGGTGCTGACGGCGGCGCTGGCCGGCCTCGGACTGTGGTTCGCCCGCCGACAGCGCGCTGCCTGGCTGCCCTCCTGGCTGCTCAGCTCGCGCGGCACCCACCACTCGGTGGAGAACCTGGCCTACAGCCGGCACCAGAACTCCGACAGGTAACTACGCCTGCAGGACGGCCGGCACCAGAACTCAGACAGGTAACAAACATCTTCTACAGCCGGCACCAGAACTCAGACAGGTAACGAATATCTTCTACAGCCGGCACCAGAACTCAGACAGGTAACAAACATCCCCTACAGCCGGCACCAGAACTCAGACAGGTAACAAACATCTCCTACAGCCGGCACCAGAACTCTGACAGGTAACAAACATCCCCTACAGCCGGCACCAGAACTCAGACAGGTAACAAACATCTCCTACAGCTGGCACCAGAACTCAGACAGGTAACAAACATCTCCTACAGCCGGCACCAGAACTCTGACAGGTAACTACGCCTGCAGAACTCAGGCAGGTAGCATCCCCCTACAGACACTAGGCAGCTGGTAACGACTCCTACAGAAAAGAAGGTAACAGTCCCTACAGAACACTCACAAGTAACCTGGCCAACGGACGGTACCAGAATACAGATGGGCAACTCCACCTTCATAACACATATTTTGCTGCCATATGTGGCGTACTCTGGGCAGATGATTGGTGTTCATGCCACCTGATGATTCATGGATGAGGCCTATTATTGCCTCCTGAGGCCCCTTGCATCAGAGTACCTAGCTAGGTGGAATCGAAAAACCGACATCAGAGTTAGCTAACCTGCCAACCTGAGTTAGCTAAGGGTGGTAAGTTCTTTTGCAACAGCTCATAAGGTAAACTACAGGTGCTTGGCAGATTTTATAAGTAAATTGTCACGGTAGAGTCTTAGAGTGGTCGATATACGGTGCAACAGAATCCAAGAAGTGGTGCAAGAGGCTGGCTGGATGGTATATTGTTTTTCTTCAGTGACACCATCCGTACGTCACGTTTCAGCGCCGAACTGACTGTGGATAATGGGAACCTGGATACGATCGCCGCCCACCGGTTTGGCTCTGAGGAGCAGCTGGTTATGCGGGAGGATTGAGAAAACGCGAGGTGGGGCTCCAGTGGCCAGACCCTGTCGGCGAAACACCCCCACAGCACCTCATGGACATTGGACACCGCTGCAGTGAAGGGTGCACGCGGACCTCGGTGCGAGTCACCGACATATATGGTAAACTGGGCATCATGTTTTACAATGCTTCCACTCAGTGATTGTGTATGAAGAGAAGGTCGAATGAGGGAAGATTCAGTTTCCCAGTTTTAGATATTCAATGGGCATATTCTTGTTTTAGGATCTATGTTTGTATCATGAATACCTATCCATGATCTAGCGTTCGCTTAAACACGACATATTACTTATAAATATATATTGTGATACTTTGTGACGAATTTCATACACCGCATTTCGTACAAGACGACAGTGAGATTCAGGAGCACCCGGCACTTGCTAATAACAACTACGGCACTCTGCGGAAGACAGGCCGAGGCATACTATGAGTGGAATGCTGGTGAGATTACATCGGTACAGTGACTACGCGTCGGATAACAATAAATTAATAACAAACACCTTTTAATCTTTCTGCGATAAAAGTATTCAAAATAGGTGCATGAATGCAGGACAATAAAAACACGATAAAACATCCCCTGGGAAAGTCCCCACAACCAAGCATTGTCACGCCTCTATGCTGGTGCCAGTATGGACGGGTCTGTGAGCAGCGCCGCACCTAACGGTATCAGCAGCCTGAGGGAGGGATCACCAGGAGCCGAGTCATCGCCCGGCGACTGGCGGGGCTGGTCGGCTCAGGGGGCGGGGTGGGATGAGTGTGCGGGCCGCCGAGCGGTCCAGCCGTGCCGCTGCGACAACAGCTAGCTAGTAGTAGTCCGGCACGGGGGCGCAGACAATCTTCACAAAGTCGTCGTACTTGACAAAGCCGTTCGGCTGGATGTTGGCTTCCCGGAATATCTGGTCCACTGCGGTCAGAAAGAAAGGGAGGTGTAGGTATCAGAGGCTGCTGCCCACGGGTGACGTGGATTCGAACAGCGCATGAATGAACGGAATGGCACAGCACAGGACAATAACGCTGCTGCTATTTACAACGGGAATAAAATCCTTTCACTGTCGAGCCACACGGCGAAGTTAGCCAGTCGTGTGTAATGCGGCACAGACTACCTTCCCGGCGTTCGTCATGACTGCCATCTAGCGTCAGGATTGTGAAATGAAGGGATTCCAGGAATTTCAGCGTTTGGAGCCCATTTCAATATCTAACTATATTTGCTAGGTGAATATTTAGACATACAAGTGCGAAATATGTGCACGTTGAACTTGGGTCTAGCTAATGACTCTGAGTCGCTCCGTGTGTGTACTGACCTTCCCGCGGGCTGAGACACTCGCCCCAGCGGAGCAGGATGTGCCGCAGGTTACGGGCCGGGAGCATCCCCCGGCGTGACGTGTCGTGGCCGCGGAACGCCTCGATTATCTCCTTCGGGATCTTCTCCTGCTGCGTGTGCTGGTGCATCACATCCAGGAACTGGGCGAACGTCATCTTACCGCCTGCAAATAACGGCAAAACTCACGGCCTAACTCATACATACATACTGACATTGCTCGGTAACCGGTTACCTGACGAAGTAATTCTTACATATTACTATCAGATTAGTTTACAAATTATATTCAAATACTTCGGTTAGATTCCAGTGGTTTGCAACTAAGCGGCAGGCATAATTCAAAAACAGGTCCAATTATTTCCAAAGCTCATGGAATTCGCTTCCTTGCGTCATGTGCACCGGGCTGGGCACTGCGCGGTCTTAAAAAAAAAAAAACTTTAAAAAACTTGGTACCTACGTGTTTTTTCTATGCCAGGGAAACTGTAAAATTCCATCAATTTCGGGCACTGCGGGAGGAGCAATAACAGCAATATGTAAATAACACCTTTTAGACATCCGAAGGTGTTTTTTCCCAATGAAGTTGGGATTCCTTACCTTTTTCTTTCATGTATTTTTGCAGTTCAGCGATGGTGGGCGACAAGCCCAGGGACCTCATGATGACGGTCAGCTCGTCCATGGTGGTGATCTGTCCGCCGTGGCGGGCGAACAGGTGGAAACAGTCGCGGAACTCTGCCGGCACACGGTAAAATTCAGACGGAAAACAATACACACCTGGAAACCGTCGCAAAACTGCCAGCGCAAGTCGCAACTAATACACGCGAACCGCAGAGGAAAAGAAAAATCGCTGGAAGCAGCCACAGCCGCTAACGAGGATCTATCGTCGCTGGAAATACGCCCAAACTACCTATCAGGCTGGAAACAAAGTTAATGTTAATTCATGGCTGATAAAACAATAGCAAACTATAATCCTGAACCTCAAGCAAGTTACTCTGTTATAGTGACCTGACATAATTACCTTTACAACTATAAGGCAAAATACTAGGAAAGGGAATAGGGAGAAATCTACCTTGAAATTGGATAAATAAGCAAATAGAGCAAGTGCTGAGTAGTGAGTACCAAGTACCAAATGGGGAATCAAGTGGGTGAACGGGAGAGTGAGGGAGGGGAGGAAAGAGTGAATGAGAAAGAGAAAAATATATTCCAAACTTACCATCAATATCCTGCTCTTTGAAAAACCTGGCCTGAAATGGAAGACAATGATAATGACCAGTTATGAACAACACAAGTCACAACAACACGGATGCACACACTATATTAAAGGTAATACACCACTTTTAATATGGGGTTTGAACTGGAATAGCAGTTTTGTAGGTTTTGTAGTTTGAGCTGAGATTAGCACAAATCAGGAGCTTTCATGGTCCAACTACCACCCTAGGCAAAGATATGCCATTTCTCATTTCAAACTCGGTGCCTAGCATAGGAATTTAGTGCTTTACAGAAGAATGCCAAATATGCAGCCTCCTGTCGCAGAATGAGAAGCCACAGCAAGCCAATCAGCATGCAGTTTAAGACTCGACTGGGTTTTGAACTCCGCAATATGATTGGTCGCACGCAATAAGCTTCTGTTGCCAACAATGTAAGGATGATGATTTTATTGCAAAGAAATTGTAGTGTTTTTCACTATCATTGCATCCTTTTGCTTAAAGCCTACGCTTAGTTTGATATAATGAAGCCTGTTTGAGTTCAAGCTCTGATCAGTGGTCAGCACTCAATCATTTCGTTATTATTCTTGGCACTTCAAGCACACTGACATCCAGCCTATCGTTCAGATCTTGAACAAAGGATCTTATCTTAGTCTAGGTAACTTTAAACAAATAAAAACACTTACCATGACTATGAATTGAAAACAAATGTCAATTGCCCCCTACAAAAATGTCACAGGGTACCGTTAGATTTTTAGATCGAGTCTTGTCGCAGCAGCGCCATTTTCAACACAGATAAGCTTTGCTTACAATCAGCTGATTGGAAGCTGTCTGCTAAAACGCTGTCAAATTTCGTTGCAACAATAATCACACTAACCCTTGCATAACTCGGCAATGTTTTGCACATTAAATTATAATATGTCATCATATTTGCGGGACATTGCGGAGTTCAATTTCAATGATCCGTAATTCCCCCACAGCCTATGACCGTATCCTTGTTACCTGATTGCATGTATTGTGTAATAACTGTAATATGCCATGACAAGCCCCCAAGTTCGGCAAGTGCTGGTGCAGCAGCATCAAACCTTTACCCGGTCGTCACTAATCCAATAGTTTATAGTCTTGACCGGATCCAAGCGGTCCATCCTCAGTACCGTCCTTGCCGTCCTCTCAGGACATACCAATCCGCATCTTCCATCATGCTACTTTTCCGAGCAAAGGTAGGGCGGTGCCGGTAAGGGGCAAGGGCAACAACCGGTGGGGCGGTAAGAGCGAAATCCCTTTTGATCTATATTTCCTCCGAGATGACCGTCTGACCGGCAGAGCGGGCTGTTCCAACTTCCAACGGGACACTCCTATCTCACCGGGACGGTTTCTGCCGCTGCTGCGCTTCGTTGGTGGTCCGCTCAGTCCATCCAATGTCTGCGCTATATCCCATCAGCATATAGCTCTGTGATGGCTTGTCTCCGGCCAAGTTTGATCCCCACAACAGAAACAAGCCACACCCAGCGAGTAACGGACCTTCGTCCACACCTCGGAACCGCTCGGGACAGCGCGGAGATTCAAGTTTCCGAGACAATTCAGCTCAATGTGTGGTATAATCCAGACTCGTAATTCGGTCATACCGCGAGTTAAAATGCCTTACCAGCACACAAACCCACATTTATTCTAGAATATCTCACTCGCATTTATAGGAAGACGCCCTAACCCCCGACACAGTTTTCTCGCCGAACGGCTAGCGCCTGTGGCAGACTCCTCTCAGCTGGAGGACGTCACACAACCAAAACACCGCTACTGGTAGGTGGTAACAATCGACTGAGGACCGGCCTTCACCTGCAGAACCGGTACATTTTCACAAACTCATCCCCATAGGGTGCTAGTAGTCTACCTCGCTCGGCTGGGACAGCGGCTATGTATACGGGGTGGGTCACCATGTAAGTACATCTGGCTTACTAAAACAATATATGCTAACATTGCACGCTCATAGGTCACTAAAATCACGCCAAAGTTTCATGATAGTCTGCACAAACTTAATACCCCGTACTTTCTTTAAAAGCGGCCGTCTTCGATATCCACGGTTGAAAAAATACCATCATGTGCCAATAGTGCTCTGATACGAGGCTACAGAATCAACATCGCACGGCCCAACGATACTTATTTTGCGTGTGTTCTTGGTGCGTTCCAAAAGAGCTTCGATCACTGACAGCGATAAACGAACGCTTCCAACCCAACTTTTCCGCCACCCCTGACTCTAAGGTCATAGTCACAGGTTCAACTCACACAGCCTCCATAAAAATACAAGTGCGGCAATCATCCATTGAAAACAAACGGAAATCGGAGAGTTTACGAAGGGACAAAGATGTCATGATTCGATTCCTAGTAGGTACGTAATTCAGATGTACAACGAAAGCCATGGTGCATGATGACACAGCCAGGTGAACACTGAGAGCGTCCGACCGCATTCGGAGGCGCGGCCATTTCACTGAGTGTGGCAACTTGGTGGCATCCGAAAGTTTGTGTGTTGAGGGCACCGTTATCCACCGTGCTGACCATCGTGAAGGCTAAACTACGATAGAATCTATATATGGCACAAGAAACCAACAGCATTGGCAACCTGTTTGTACTGAGTGCTAACAAAGGTATAGAGCTCTGGAAGTGCGCGAATAAAATCATACTACGCTGGTGCACAGACAACAGACAGTTGCCCTCCAGCCACACCGGGGCGCCGCCGTAGGCTGGCACACCCTGCCTGCACCGGCGATCGGTGGCAGTCTCTGCAGAGACATGGCACAGAGGGCGGGAGCGCAGGACTCGATCCCCGCCGGCCCGACCTGTTAGAGCAGCCGCACTGTAGGCCGGCAGCCCGAAAAAGCGCTAGAAATTCCCCCAAACTGACTGTCTGCAATAGGAACAAAATAGGTATCATTTAATCCCAAATTGATCGAAGAATACGATTCCGATGCCATTTTTGCCCTAAGGTCGAAATTGAGGTGGTCAGTTGTCACCAAACACAAGACTATTTAGACTCGCTAGTGGCCACCATATTTGCCGATTTTAATGCTAATCTTTAGTTGATATTTATTAGTTGACCAGTTGTCGTTTTGAACGCAATTTTCTGTCAGACTAGTTCAGGGCACTGTTGTTCACTGTACCAACAACATTCTTACATATTGCATCGCTTTTCTGCAAGATAAGCCAGCTTTTTGCAAGCAGCTGCAAGACCTAAATAAAAATCATATCTAAATTTTTAAATAGACTTTTAAAAAAACGTTATTTCGAGCAGCTAAAAATAAACATCTTATACTAGCCGCTGATTACTCATCTTTCGTTCCATATAGGTACTTTGCTGCTTTTCCCTGCTACTTTTCGAGATATGCGCCAGTAAACCACATGATGTAGGGGCAATTGTCACCTCGCCGCTCTACTGAATGCCCGGCGCTCTTTATAGCGCTGGAAGTTGTGAAAAACTAAGGCTTATAATCTGAATAAAATATATGTCCCTGAGCTCAGAATTGATCAACGCACACAATGCTGTCAAAATTTTTGGGCCAAACTAAAAAATTCAGTCATTATTAACCCCCAAACACAAGTAAGTGATAATCAACAACAACTTGCTCTTAAGTTAAACTTTTTGAGAAATGTTATTTCGAGCCGCTAAAAATGACCGTGCCATACAAACCACTAATCATCTTTCTGTCATGCCCTACTCGCAATTTTTGCTAATGCCTGCTACTCTTCGAGGTCACGTGACATCACCATTAAAAGTAAATGGGGAGATAAGGAAACTGTTGTTTTTGCGCATGGAATGATCTCAAACTATCTCAAGCACAGGGAATCGTGATTTCATGCACTCCTTGCAAGATCCGTTGCTTTACTTTTGCATTTTTGACCTTCCGTGACGTCATTTATGACGTCACTACGGTCATAGGAGTTTCTTGTCAATAACTCATGATCAAATTGAGCCAGCGACTCGGGAAAGCCACCAATGGACTCGGGAAGACCTCCCGAATCGAATGATATGCGACATGACCTCTTTCGACCAACTTCGTGACCTGGGGGTGCTGACCTGACCTTGACCTGAGGTCAACACCTTAAGTTGACCTCACCCGAACAAAAAGTATACCATTCGACGTGCCTGAGCCAGGCAAACACGATGGTGCCAAAATCGCTGCTCTGCGACCATTTTATGCGAAATTATTTACCAAAAACCAAACCCTACCTTGGGCTTTTTGACCTCACCTCAGAGGTTACCGGTTGACATGGGACCTTGAAATCGGGTATCAATCATTCCGTCTTGAAACGGCGCACACGCTTGTTTTTTCCGCGAGGCTCTAGCTCCATTAGGGGCGAAACGGCGAAAAGGGGTCGTACCAACCCTCCCCCCTCGGCCGGCCGAGGAGGTGGGGGGTCCGACAACAGGTCCGGCGAGGGTTAAGCAGCCCCACTTCGTTTTTAGCATGTTTGCTTGTCGCTGAGATCAACAACTCAATCACAAATAATTTCTAGCACTTTTCCGGGCCCCCGGCCCAGTGTGAGCCGGCTACCTGGTCAGCCGCCGTCAGCCGGCGGCTGAGCCCCGGGCGGTCCTGACTGTGCACCAGCCTCCTCTGACCGGTGTTCGGGCCGCTGCCCACAGCGAGGGCGGCCCTCGAGCTTCTGCGATCGCCTACCTACAGCGAGGGCGGCCCTCGGGCTACTGACCGGTATCCACAGCGACGGAAAATCTCGGGCGACTGCGGTCGGTGCCCTCCCCGGTCTGCTGCCCACTCAAGGGAAGTACCCCGGGCTACTGCGACCGGTGTCCTGGTCCAGAGGAGGACTCCGGGCTACGGTGACCGATGTCCTGGTCCGTGGGCGGACCCCGGGCTACGGTGACCGGTGTCCTGGTCCGTGGGCGGACCCCGGGCTGCGGTGACCGGTGTCCTGGTCCGTGGGCGGACCCCGGGCTACGGTGACCGGTGTCCTGGTCCATGGGCGGACCCCGGGCTACGGTGACCGGTGTCCTCTCCACTGCCTACAGTACGGGCGGCGACGTCATGGCCTGCCGGCCGGCCGCCGCGGCCCGTCGTCAACAGCGTGCAGTGCCGGCCGGAGGCGCCGCCGCCCAGGTGCTCAGGTTGCGGCCGCCGGCGCTGCCCGTGTTGGCGCCCAGCACGTGGGACGACCAGTCGGGGGCACGCAGCGCGCTCTGGTAGTGGCGCTCGCACGACTTGTTGAACACAGGCAGCACCTCGTTGGCATCCTTGGCCAGCGCCTGTGAGCGGAGGGCAAATACCGGTCACCAACAGGCATACAAAGGCGCACCGGGCGGGGTCTGTCGATATCAGACAAACAAGGGTAGCGCGGGAGGAGTTACTGCCGCCGCGGACCCGTCACGGCTGCAGCGGCTAGTTTACCAGCCATGCAACATGGCGCAAACACGCCCCCAGTCCATCAATAAACAGTATTCCGCCAAGTCACCGTTCCACGAACCAACGTGACACATTTTCCAAGAGCTCGGCAAACACCCCTGTCGTTCCTGACGTGTCAGTACAAGCACAATCAATACAGACCCCGCTCCACAGCTGTCTCGCATCCCTCCAACATCGCCCAGCCCACACGGCGGGAGCGGGCGCTGCCAGCGTACCTTCAGGTAGATGATGGCGTCTGTACCATATCCCTCGCACGAGTTGACGATCAGGTCACCCTGGAAGTAGCGTGCGTACAGGCGGGAGAGCGGCAGCCCGTACCCGTACCCTGGAGAGGAGCGGGCACATGACCGTCAACAACAGAAGAACAGCATCCAGTCACGTACAGCTAGACAAGACGCAGGTGCAATTGTAAAAAACGACAGCATAACTAAACATAAGTAGAACAAAAAGTAGCATAACCAAACAAAACTTAAACAAAGTTGCTAAGGACTAGATCATTGACGAATCTATGAAATAACGGCGTGCGACTACTAAATAAGATACGATGAACATCGATTGTTGCCATGCGTTTTGAGAATCGTTTCTCTCTAAACTCGTTTGGCTTCAATGTTGAATAAAATTCCCATATTTGAAGCACGCACGCCATCTTTTCAATATAAAAAGTACATTTATTGCGAGCATGAGTTATGGATGACTTGCATCACTATTGCATAAAGATAGGTATCAGCATAGACCACTATATATCCATATAGATATACACCTTTTGTCAGTTTATTTCGGTACGTACGCGTCCATTTTAGACCTAGCGGATTCTTTGTAGACATACCGCAAAGCTATGTATCAGTATAGCATTGCATGTCGGCCGTTTATAGCGGTGATTGGCATTAGAGCATTTAATTTCGGCGCAGCAGCAAAAGACGCCCGGTTTCGGCGTGTCCAAATAGTATTTCGACGATGCCGCTGGAAATTGTAGACGGCCGCACGATATTTAGAACAGCAGCAACCAAATTCGGCGATATTCATTCAATTTCGGCGGCTATTTGGAAGCAGGCAGACACTTCTTGCTTACAAAATTAGCTTGTTGGAGCATTGTTAATAAGTCAAACGTTTTTCAAGGTGTTTACTGTTGCCACTGTCTCACTGTCTGGACTTGTGCAATGTACTCATGCCTCCGTCCCTCCACCCTCTCCTTTATGGCCGAATATTCCTTTCGCAATCGCCAGCGATGAGCATGACTTCATGTTCGTGCTTTCTGTGGGTTAAACAAAACATTACAATGTGCCTAATAATTTCTATCAAGGAAGTACTAATAACATAAGTGCATAGGCACCTGCTTAAAACGAAGGCGGCGGAGAACAAAACCAGACCGACAGGGTACGCGACTACTGAACTTTGACCCCGTCCGTGCGCCAGACGCCCGTCGCCCGGTGTCGTCGCGCGGTTGTTGAAAGGCTGCTCCGAGCGCCGGATGGACAGTCAGATGCTGTTTGATGTGTGGAAGGGGGAGGGGGGGGGGGAGAAAGATACACCTGCCGGAACTACGAGTATTGTCCATGGGACGGGTTAGAATGTTGGCGATAAGCCTCTGGTGGTGTTCATGGGGGTGAGGTGGGGTGAGGAGAGGCGTGATGATACGATACGGAATGCTGAATTTATTTGCGTATCCTTCTGCACAGAGTAGGTGAGGGATGTTTGATGCTTCATGCTGGCAGTTGATTAATAGGAGATGATAACAGGAATTGTGCAACGATAACCGATTGGTAGGACTCATTCTGGTATGGTTGAGAATTGTGTTATGTGTGCTTGACGAGGTGATGGGTTGCTTTCAAGGTGTAGTAAAATAACAGGTCTTTTGATAAAATGGGTTCATGTTTTGGGCAAAAACTTGGCACATAGTGACAACAGCACAGACGTGCTTCAATGAAAGAGAACAGGGGTTTGCCTCGAGTCCAACAACGATTGTCGTTTGCCTTGTCGATCGTCGTCCGCCATGTGCGGACAGGAGCGGGTACTGTAATGTAAAAAAAAAGAAACCAGCCCACAGATGTTATCTTTTTAGGATAAATATTACTTACTCAGTAAAGCTTATCAATTTTCACATCAGAATTCGGAACGGGAAACAGCGAAACGATCTTAGGTAGGTACTGTGACGCTAAACGAACAGTGGCCTGCTTTTCTCACCCTGAGGATATCTCAAAGACACAAAGCTGTATGAAGATTCATTTGATGCTCAAGAAGCGTTACTGAAAATATGAATCATCTGGGTGCCTCCGGTTACCCGCCGAAATTGAATGAACAGTGCCGAATTTGGTTGTTACTGTTGCTAAATAGCGTGCGCTACCTCTAAACCTGTGCTGGCGCAGCCGATTCTACTTGCGCTATCGCCGAAAATGGAGCGTTTTGCCGCTGTGCCGAAATTGAATGCTTTACCGCCGATTGCCTGACCTGCGCCGAGATATTATGTGATTCTTGTACATAATATTGCGGTATGTCTACACACATTTCGTTAGTTCTAAAATGGACGATTCCGCACCGAATTTAACTGACAAAAGGTGTAGATATATAGTGGTCTATGGTATCAGTATTTGTCATCTGCTCAGATTACGTTTTTGATAGCTCTGAGCTATTAGCTCAGACAGTCCAGAAGTATGTTTTCGAATCCGTAAATACGATGGTGTTGATAGACATCATCAATTGATGTTGTCGAACAGTTCACGATATCTGCGAAACATTGATCGACATGTGAGAGCAATGTTTGCTCGGGACGCCCAAAGATTCAAATTAAGCTATTAACCACGCTTCAATGAATGCTTAAAACGCTGCAGAATTCGAACTAAATACACCCGGAGACAGTTTCTCGATATTTCTGTTCCGTCAGCATGACGCTGAACAAAAATAAAAAACCAAATGGGACCACATAGCCTCAGGACTATTTCCAGACGTGCCGCATCCGGCTGCCTAGCAACGGGCACACCGTGTTGACATTAGGTCTGTCCACCCGGCCGCGGGGGAGGGGAATAGTTGGCGCGGTCGACAGCAGCCTTCTGTAATCCACACAGAGCGGCCGCAACTGGGGAGCGGCAGACAGCTGGGGATGGATAGCAGCTGGGGGGCGGGCAGCTGGCAGCTGGCAGCTAGGGATGGATAGCAGGCACCTGGGGACGGGCAGCTGTCAGCAGCTAGGGACGGGCAGCTGGCAGCTGAGGACGGGTAGCTGGCAGCTTACAAAAAGGGCCGTGTAACTGACAGCCGGCGAAGGGCAGCTGGCAGATGGGGGAGAAGTTCACACCGATTGACAGCAGGGGAGGGAAGAGAGGCCAGAGGGTTAGGGTCGGGTCGGGTCAGGTCACGTTAGGTCAGGTCGGATCGGGATGGGCTGGGTCTCGTCCAGTCGCGTCGGGGACGGTCTAGCTCACAAGAACACCCACCTGCTAGCGGAGCGGCGTCACCCGAGGCCGACGGTTTGGGCGCCGTCGAGTACAGATAGTGGAAGAGCATGTCGCTGACGCTGCGGGGCACACCGCCACCGCGGTCAGAGATCTGCCGGTCACACAGGGAGGACGGTCAGCGGTCAGCGGTCACCGCGCCGGTCAGCGGTCACCGGTCACGAGTCAGTTGTCGCCGGTCAGCGGTCACCGCGCCGGTCAGCGGTCAGCGGTCACCGCGCCGGTCAGCGGTCAGCGGTCACCGCGCCGGTCAGCGGTCACCGGTCACGAGTCAGTTGTCGCCGGTCAGCGTTCACCGGTCACCGCGCTGGTCAGCGGTCAGTTGTCAGCACTCGCCGGTCAGCGGTCAGTGGTACGATTCGAACAGCAGGTGGCGATGAATACCAATAAACACTTAGTTCATAGAGCCGGGCGGCACACTGAGCGCTCCGCTCGTACCCAGACTCAATGGTGACATCAGCCGTTACCGTAAAAACACCAGTCGCCGCGGGGTAATGCCGGCGGTGGTCTTATGTTGGTACCGATCTCAAGACTGTGCCAAACGGTCCAAACGACGGACCGCCGACGCGGGCTGGTGGCCCGCTGACTCTATCGTAAATTGTAAAATAATACGGAGCCGGCTAACATAGCAATGATATCAAATCTTCATCCGTTCGCCTATTTAAAAAAAAAATGGTTTAACTTCAAACTAAGACTAGGGTAGATATGTAGGGTAGATACTGTTGAGAGGACGGGAACCACTGCGGTCAGTTACCAGCCAGCACGGGTGCCGACGGGGGGAGGGGAAGGGGGTACGTCGGAGGCGGTCCGCTGGCAGTACGCCGTCGGCCCCGCTATCGGCGCCGCCCAGCCTCCGTCCATCACCGCCGGTGGTTTTCCATACCGCCGGTCGGGGGTCGCGCGCCGGCTGCGGCCCGTCGATAGGAGCGGCCGACCCGACTATGTTCCCCACCCCCGCCCAGTCGGGAAACTGGGGAGTCACCGGGCTGACGTAAGACCGGGATAAGAGGAGGGGCGGGGTGACGTGTGGGTCAAAGGAGTCGGTCTCTGGCTGGCCGGCCGGCCAGTAAAGGTTCGCCGATCGATCGGCAATGTCACCTTGAGCCGGTGCCGGCACTGTTGACGCCGCCAGGACGCGTGCACGTGAGGCGCATTGGCGACCGGTAGCGGACGCGTCCCCCACTGACGACGCCCGCCCTCCCACGTGGTTGTGGCCCGGGGATATTTATACCGGCGCCGCGCGCTCTCTGGCACAGGCGCCGGACGGATTCCGCCCGGGAGTTTCCACTGTCAGCAGACTCGGCCGCTGCGGGGGGCTGGACCATTGAGGAGGCGTGGTTCGTCGGTGGGTGGGGGACCGGAGGAGACCGGCCGGCACCGGCTGTCGGGCGCTCTGCCATCCGTCCCCAGCTGCGACCGACGGCGCCGAGCTTCTAGTCACACTTGCTGGGCGACGAGCGGCTACTGCGGATAGGAGATACTCCCACGCAAACCAACAGTGCCGCTGCCGTCCCTACCGTCCCGCCCGCTCTAAGCCCCGCCGTATCGGTATCGGCGAGTGGCAGCAGCCCATCTGCAGACGTTGTTGACAGCGTCAACAGGCAGTCGGACAGTGGCGACAGACGGCCGGCGGTCCGGTCCGCGAGTCCGTTGCACACGGCAGGCGGCACCAGTGCCGACACCTCCCTCCCCTCCCCATTCTCGGTGGGCACGAACCGGCCGTAACCGGTGCGGGAGTGGGGGGGGGGGGGGAGGGTCGGCCCGTGCGGACCGGCCGACATCTGAGCAGCACCGCCCGCAGTTACCAAGGAGCGCTCCCGTCCGGATCGAGCCGGCTCAGCGACGCAAAAAAAACCGCATCAATCAACACCTCACTAAGCCGTAAATTCACCAATGAACATAAAAAAATATGAAAGGGATTTTATTGTCATGGTAATTTGGCAAAATATTCGTCTATACCTACTTTCAGTCGGTACTGCGTTTAGCGTGATTGGGTCACGCTAGGTCATCCACTATCGGACAAATGACTTCCTGACAAGCTTGTCATAGCCAGATCTAGCGTGCTCATTTTACGTCCGAGGAAAGGACATTCGTGCCAGCCAAATTGCCAGCCATCGGCGGCGGCCGCTGACGTCATATCTGCACGGGCCGTGGCGCTGCTCGATATTAATTACACGGGAACGCATCGACTGGAACAGCCGGATGACCAATTAGTCCAAAACAGCGAATATACCTAACCTAGCCATTGAACGTCGATTCCAACTGCTACTTACATCGACAAAGGCTGGACGGCCGAACGGTACTGTAGTACCTGTCCACTGGAGGTGGAACGGTTTGACGCCGTTGGACCGTTTGCTGACCGGAGATACACGAAACTTCAAGAAAGTGCGACAGGTATAATCCCAGTAAACATGCCGACGTCGGCCCGACGTCGGGGTGACGTCGGCAACTCGGCATCGGCATGCCGACGTCGGCCCGACGTCGGTCCAACCTCGGCACGACGTCGGCTGGATGTCGGATATGCCCGCATGTTCCGACGTCCAGCCGAGGTCCAGCCGACGTCGGGCCGACGTCGGACCGAGATCAATTGCTGAGGTCTAGCCGACGTCGGGCCGACGTCGGTCCGACATCGGCCGCTGTTTTGACCGTTAAAATAATACAAAATACATGTTTCATGTTTCATAAAGAGCTTCTGTATTCAAAATATCCTCAGGAAACTCAAATCTTCCTCCACGCCGCAACCCCCTGATCCGGACTGGACGGGAAACTGTATCCCATTTGGGATTGCCCGTAAGCCGAGCTCGCCCGTAGCCGGGTGCGGTGAGTGCTTGGGGGCTGCTCGGCCTATCCTTTGGTCAGGCTCAGCCCCGGCAACTCACCAGGGCCGGGCCCAGTTCATATAGAAAGGCCAGTCGGCAAGTGTCACTTTGCCAAAGTGCCACTTATCAAAGGGACACTTTGGGCAACGTTGGTGCAGGTGTGTAAGAGTGGCTATATGAATCCATTGTGGGGTCGCCCTTTCCAATAAGTGTCACGTAACAGCAATGGGACCAGGGACTCTATATGAACTGGACCCAGGGTGCTCGCCAAGAAGACCAATGTCTCCATCCTATGACCCTTCCGGCTCTGAAATGGTCTTGTCAGACCGAAGGGGCATAACCCAACAAAACAAACCTAATTCGTTAGCTGGCTGCGTGGTGTAGTGGTTAGCGCACTAACCATGCGTTCGAATGACACGGGGTTCGAATCCCATCGCCGGCTGATGCTTTTGGCGTGTTGTCCCAGTAAACATGCCGACGTCGGCGACTGGGGGGCTCGAATCCCGCCGCCGGATGATATTTTTGGCGCGTTGTCCCAATAAACATGCCGACGTCGGCCCCGTCGGTCCAACGACAAACGATCTCGTCAACCTCGGCAAACGATCTCGGCCCGACGTCGGCTCGACGTCGGCTGGACTTCGGATGGACGTCGGAACATGCGGGCATATCCGACGTCCAGCCGATGTCGGGCCGAGGTTGAACCGACGTTGGGCCGACGTCGGGCCGAGCCTCGGCCCGACGTCGTCATGTTTACTAGGATAAACCCACATTCATGATATGGAAAAACAAATTTAGTCGACCTAGTTCAGGAGCATTTATATTCGGAGTCGGTTCCAGAGGTCACACAACAATCACACTGTTCTGGTTCCAATTTTGCGATTTTAGGCACGTGCCTAAATGGCGTGGCACGTACTTGCGGAACCCTGTCGGCGATTGAGTCTTATCAACGATACGTTATGAGTAAGCAGCGCTAAGCTGGTAAGCTGGTAAGCAGGAAAAGTATTCCGACTCGGTAAACAATGACGTGTGCAAATGTCGAGTGGGTCGATAAATTGACACCCCCCCCCCCCTCCTCCCCCATAAACACAAGCCGTCAGCTTGTACTGTATAAGCTCTATCCTGGTGTATAGCATGTCTTCCACAACCATGCCGTGTCTGTAGTGAATGTCGCCCACCGGCGGGTGCCATTAGGAGCGCCGGTACACAGGTACCAGATAAACCAAACTGCAGACAGTAGCACCCGCGATAAGGCCCTCTCCAGCCCGCATAATGCACATTGCACGGGCCTTGGCAGCGAGACTTTAGATTCTAAAACAGCGCTCCTATCTCTCGCCCAGACAACAGCTCGCACTGACCTTGATGGTGAGGGCCTGTCCGTACTGACCTTGATGGTGAGGTGAGGTCCTGTCCGTACTGACCTTGACGGTGAGGTGAGGTCCTGTCCGTACTGACCTTGATGGTGAGGTGACTGTGCGGTTCTCCCGTACTGACCTTTATAAGGTATTGGGCCCGTATATACATACATTGACCTTGATGGTGAGGGCCTGTCCGTACTGACCTTGATGGTGAGGTCCTCCTTGCCGTTGACTACCAGAAGCTGGATGGCCGGAAAGTCGGAGGTGTCCGGGTAGTGTTCGACCACGGCGCGCATCGAGTTCTTCAGCAGCTCGAACAGGATGTGGTACAGGTGCGACGGCACGTACACCAGCGTGATGGGCGACTGCACGCCGCCTGCTGACACACGGACACACAGACACGCGCGCCGTCAGCTCGCGAACAGACGGACAGACACACGCCGAGCCTAGCCGCCGGCCAGCTCACGTATAGTCTCTCTTGAAAGTATCGCGACTCGGAGGGGAGGGCGCTACTTGTGCCAGGCGCGGTTTAGCGGAAAAGTTTGAGAGCCACTGGTAGCACTGACCAGTGACCAAGCCTGGCACGCGGCGGCAGCCAGCGCGGCGGGCCGAGGGGAGTGGTTACGGAGGGAAAGGGGATGAGCGGCGGTTGCCGTCCGGTAACTTGTGATGGCAGTAAGCGTGTGGTCAACGGAAGCTACCCTACTCGCAGAGAATTTGTTGAGATTTGTTTCATGACAAAGCTGGAAATCTGACCCGTCATCGGCACGACTACCACAGGTTTTTGGTGTAATCCAGAAACCCGTGCACGAATACGAAAAAAAACATCAGCTGCACCCGCTAATAAAATGCATCTGTGGCTGCAGGAGTCTGCTCACAAAAAAATGTCTACTCTCTAGCCACTTAGTCCTTTATTTGAACGTTCTCTCTTTCTCTCTATTTCTCACACTGAGTTAACAGTGATTGGCGCCCACTAAGGCAGACCAATGAGCGCCCGGCTGAAAAATCCAAGCAGCGCAGGTATTCGCCTGGGGTGGTGGACGGGGTCAAGGGAAAGCGATACGACCATGACCTTTGGCCGGCCTCCGCCTGTTTCGACCCAGCTGTCAGCCGCTGGTGCCCGCGTCATACAGTAGTTTTCCTTTTAACTCTGGCGTAGGATCGTGTTACAGCGTATTTTTTATGATACAGGCCATGACCACACTGCTGGGGTCCTCAAACTGAATGGAATAGTTCGCCGAGCCGCCGCAGCCCATGAAGCGATACTTTCAAGAGAGACTATACACGGGATGATTGACAGATAAGAAGCGGGCCTCACAATGGTACTGATACAAACGCAGGTTCACATCACCTTGAATCGTAGGTTACGTCCCAATTCCATCCTTTTACCACTAGTTAGCGTCGGTTTTTTGGAGTGCTCCTACTTTTTTATTTGTATAGGCACACTCGCAATCAGAAATTGCGGAATCTTGCAATTAGTATGCGTTAGTAAAGAAAAAATAGAATTTGTGTGTTTGGGCACCAGAGCAAGTATGTATCAAATCACATATTCTCAGTAGGGCAGCCATGCTTGTATTGCCCATCAATTTCAAAATTCAAAGTTCGTACCATACCCAGAAAAAATACATGAGCCTTGACCTTTTGACGTAATAGCCTAAATCACACCGAAGAACGCTGTTGTGTATTCGGTTTTGCTCCCGGGCGCCCCGTGGCGTTGATCGGTCGATCCACCGTTGCCGACCTCTCCTGGGGTACGGCGAGGGCGTCCGACCGTCACCGCCACCGTCTCCCGGCCGGTGTTTACACATTTCCCACATAGCGGATGGCGGCGGCCCCGGCCGCGCGTGTCAGGGGCCGCGGCGAGCCAGTGTTGTAAACAGGGCGGGTCATGGCCCCTGGCCGGACCTAACGGTCGCTGACCGAGCGAGACGCGCTGTTTTTGCTTTTAGCGTTGATACAGTCAAACTTACACGGTAATGTTTTGAAGCCTGAAGGGTATAAACCACGAAGATAACTACATCTTCGCGACGGGCTACTAGCACACATACTGGCATCCCCCCCCCCCCCCCCCCCACGGACACAACCATTTAATAAACAGAGACCCGGATTAGCTGTAACATAGCTATGCAATATGCAACACGAAGTACGAAGATGTACAATTGATAGGTAATTGGTGATAGGTAATGTCTTGTACTACTGTGCGAATTTTCCCGAGAGCAAAGGGCCTATGAAATATCAATCGAGCCATATATACCAGACCAGACCCCAAGGTAAACACACCATCAATGGTTGAAAGATGCACTCATGATCAAGGGGCACTTTACCGGCACACCGGCACTTTACCGATTCCACAAAGACACAGAGGCGCCGGCGGCCGGCCATCGTGCCGGGTACAACGCACGGAGTCGCTCGGGGGGAGGGGGCACCGACCCATCCCGCCATAAACACACAGAGGCGGCGCCACACAGCGGTCTCCGTCCCGGTGTCCCGGTGCGTGGACACCGCCGGGTCACGGGCCCCGTCCGCGGCCGCTGGTGACCTCCGGCCGGGCGCCCGGCGCTCTCCCAGAGTACGGTACTCACCGTCGCTGTCGCTGCTGCTGCCGGCGTCCGGGGCCACCATGGCTGGCTCACATGGAACGGCGGGGTCGGCCCGGTCAGTGGTGCGCGCCGCGCCCGACATGCTACACACCCAGGCGCGGGGCCACGGCCGGCGGCAAACACTCACACAGCGACAGCCATATTCTATCCTAAACTGGGGAACTTTAGTGGCGGGCTACGTCACAGCAACGGCGTATGTCACCCGAAATGCCGGTAAAAGGTCCAAACAAAACATAAAACGTCAGCTTCAATCAATTGTCTTTTGGCAAAGACCATTAAATTAACTTGGCGAAGTGTCAAGTCTTGCCTGTCAGATGCGCCATTCATTTGCCTTTGCCAAAGTAATTTTAGCCCGGTTTCTATTTCCCCGTACTTCATTCTAAGCACAAACATTCGAATGTGACACAACCGGGGTTGACTCAAAAGTCCACACATCAAGATGCTTTACAGTTTGTGTGGAAGATAACTACACATGCAGTATGAGTTTTAAAGCGGGTCTGATGAGCTATGTAATGTAATGCAACGTGATCTTACATTGAACCAACCGCATCTTCATGCACGAAATAAATTAAAAACCCGTATTAAAAAAACAATGTTCAATATTATCATTAAAAATCATCAAAAGGCAAAAGGCAAAAGGCAAAAGGTATCACATTATATTAGATTTACAGACTGAGCAATGGAGCCCTTCGGTCGGCTTGGTCGTTGGACGTAGGAATATCCACACGGAAGTAGGGTCGGTACTAAAACAGTGAATAGTTGATTATATTATTCAATGAAAATAGCATATGTCACGGTGTCAGCCCGTTATATAACAGCACAGCCTGAACCAGTTACTGTACACACACTCCACAAGGACTGAATCAACATCGAGATATAGACTAGCGACGCTACCGCAGCGGATAAGCCAGCAGCAGCATTCAGAGAACACGGGGTTTTACTGGTCCGGTGAAACCCAAACACACATCCACCGTGCACTGCCGGTCGGATCGAACGGCGAGAAAAACACCGGTACATACATGCCAGCGGAGCAAAACCACCGGGACACTGACCATAGGCGGCGGAACGGGGGGGGGGGGGGCACCGGGGCACCGTGCCACCTTTGATTTTGCCATTTTAACATTAACCCTATGGGCGTTGCATGGAAAGAATGGGACCAAAAGTCGGCAGTGCCCCCCCCCCCTCCCTTAATTGAAGGTGTTCCACTCAAGGGAAAAATTTGAAGGTGTTCCGCCGCTACTGACACTGACCAGTAAAGTAAGCCTACTGGGGACACAGGCGGCGAGATAAAGCCACCGGGACACAATATAGGCGGCGAGATAAGCCCACGGGAACACAGGCCGGCGAGATAAGCCCACGGGGACACAGGCGACGAGATAAAACCACCGCGACACAAAGACCGACAAAAGAAACTCACAAGAGGGCAACACAAACCTATCGGGACACGGAGGTCAGCCGCATGCAGCTGCAGCAAACACCGGCAGCTCCATCGACACGGAAAACTAGCGCCGGCTGGATACTGGATACCTATCACGGTGCGGTGGTTCGTTTGGGGCAGCAATCGCCGAGGGAACTGTTTGCACTCACTAATACTATATTTCTAATCTGACATTTAGATACTGACCTGACTCTGTCGTGCAGTATATGACCAAATATCTTAGCATGGCGGTTGAGCTAACACTAACTTTTCCTCGCAACTTTTAAAAGCTCCGGATGAAGCGTGACCGCTGACCTGGTACCTAGACCTGTAATGGGCCGACAATGTGACCTCACCTGCAACCGACAAGAGTGTGACCCGGCCTGTGTCCCAGTAACTGTAAGCCAGATCGGATAGTCTCGTGACCTGACGCGACCTGTCCGGCGCCCCACTCACCGTTGACCTGTGTGATCTGTCCGGTGCCCCACTCACCGTTGACCTGTGTGATCTCGATCTCTGGCGAGGCCAGGTAGTACCGGTCGCAGAGGAAGCGCGCGTTGGCAGCAGCGTCCTCGATCACGTGCACCACGTTACAGAAGGGGTCGATGCAGCCCACCTGACCGACGCCGGCCTCTTTGCGCTGTTTCCCGAACAGCAGCGCTGCCGAGCAGACGGTGCGTGACACGGTCAGACCGGCGGCTGACTAAATTCAGCCCGCAAAATCTGCATGTTACATTGATCTGAACAAACGACAACGACGCAAGTTCAAATAAGGGAATGCCGAACAGCCCTACATCGCCGACAGGCGACAGCACACGCAACTAACAGCTGATGACGGCAATGGGGCGTGATATCCAGCTTTAAATCCGTCCGGTCCTCTCCTACAGATCGACAAACTATTTTGGGAACTAAATGTTAGCATTGATTCCTAGCCAGATGAGCCAGCCCAGCCCGAAGACTCGCTGAATAGTGAATATGGACGACCGGAGAGCGATGACAAGCGAAAGTGTCGTCGCTCATGAAGGTAGTAAGGAGAAGAAGAGGGGATGGGAAAGATAAAGGAGAAGGGATAGACCGAGGGAATCTCCCCCACTCACTGTGCTGGTTGATGAGCATGCGTATGCTGATGCGGCTCATGTAGAAGCGGTCGAGGAAGTACTGGATGTTGTTCTCGGTCGAGGTGTCCAGCTTGACGCTCTGCTTCATCTCGATGACACCCTCGGCCATCGTCTGCACTACGCTGCTGTGCCGGTTGCGGATCGTGATCAGCGTCTCGCAGAAACTGCCAGCACGGGGCGGGAAGTGACGTCAGCGGACTGGCACACTGCCACAGACCACACGTTTATCTCGGGATCCGGGAACCCCGGGAGATGTCATGTTCCATTATGGTATAGTAGGCACCAATGGCAATGAGAGCTACGACAAGCCAAATGTCGCCAAAACGTCGGTCGCCAAATGACAAGATCTTGCGCTAATCGCACGGATGAATTTAAGAACTTTTTGTTTGTTTGTTTTGTTTTAATCTTTTTGCTATGTCATAAAAATGGTCTGGGGCCAGGCCAAATAAAAGATAGCTCTAATGTTCTATATTCGAACACAGTTGGGCAGGGCACAGAAAGGAAAAAGGAAATGGTCGCCCTGGATGATGGATCACCATCTGCTGTAACAATTGAAATTGGGATGCTAATTTTCTCCCACACCTATAAAGCTAGGATCTCTGAATTAACCTGTATTCTGTCAAAGATGATGATATAGTCAGATGCATGCCTCATAACCTGAATTGAATATAGCTGGCTGCTTCCAGAAACGCATGCTCATACATCGAGACACCTCACCCACCCATTCTTATTGATTCATTATCATCAAATTTGTTGTCAAAATACTAAATACCAACAACAGACTATCCCGACATGCCCCAAATTTGGGGACAGGCCCCACTCACTCTCTGAGAACGCTGTCGGTGGGCGGGCCGGTCTCCTCAAAGCGGAGGATGTCATTGAAGCTCTGCATGTACCACTCACACACCGTACGGCATGATGGCTGTGTGAGCAGACTCTCGGGCAGCAGCTGGATCTCACGCATGATGTTAGCCAGCCGCACCGGCACCTCCTGACGAAGAAATATGAAACTCTGCTGCTCTGATGCAGCCTTACCTGGAAAGATTCCAAAGCATGCCATGTGTGAAAAATTAAAGCACTTGAAAGTTTTAATAGGTTATGGATGGTTAGAATGCTTAAACTAGCCTGGACTAAGTGCACGTCATGCACGTGGACGTGCACTATGCAGATGCCAAATTATGAGCAAATAAAAACACACAAATGCTCAAATCATGTACTTTAAGTCACAGACAGAATATATAACAAGGTGCAGCCTTTCCCTGTAACCACAAGCCTCCACTGTGTTGCAGGGCAAATGTGTCAAAATGGAAGGAAGCAAGCATTCTCCTCACAGTTCTGAAACAGGGACAGATTTTATTTTATTATTTTGCTTTAATGATATTCATTTTAACACAAATTATTTTTGCATATCCTTATTACGTATTTTACCACTGTTAATAGCTGAATGCAAGGATTGATCCACCTAATGAATACAACACACCGATACCATAGGCATCTACAATATGCAAACAAAATAACTGAGGCTGGATATTGTAAGTTTCAGGGAAACTTGAACCCAAGTCATCAAAAATTACTTATGAAAACTCACCAAAGTCAATAAACTGTTTTATGGACAAAGGAGATGGATTGAATCCAGAGTAATATTCCAACATCTTGTTCACGCTTCGCAAGCATCTTGAAAGCCTCATGGCTGCTCCTAAGGACAAAATTGCAAAATTTTGACACTTCAGCGACCTCCAAAGGCTTAAGTGAATAAAACACTGAATTACAATGGCATCATACTTCAATATCGCAATTTACATTCGCAAACCACCACCACACACCACACACCTCCGCGGCATAAACGAGAATGAGAAATGAAAATGAAAACAGTTGATGACCTTGAATTCGATGTTCGTGAAACTGCAGTGGTATTCGTTTTCGCTCTTTATAATACTGATAAACTTGTAAAAGTGGAAATTTTGCATTTTCTGTCCCATGATCCATTGAACTTAGGTCATCAGTACAGGATCAGGATATGAACAACCGGACCCTTTGGTTTTCTACATAAACTACGGCTGAAGGGGGAAATACGACCCACTCGCCGTTCCGCCCCTGATGGAGCTAGAGCATCTAAGAAAAACGAGCGTGTGCACCGTTACGACACGCTGAGACCGGTACCCCATTTTGAGGTCTCAGGTCAACCGGTGACCTCTTAGGTCTTAGGTCAGGTCAATGACCCAAGGGACGGGTTCAGTTTTGCATAAATATCTTCGCAAAAAAAAACCGGTCGCAGAGCCGCGACTTTGGCATCATCGTGTTCGCCTTGCTCAGGCGCGTCGAATGGTAGGTATGCTTTTTTTATTTTACTTAGCTATATCTAAAACCAAAAGTTTTGCATCGATTTCATTCAAACTTGCAGAGAACATGCGACCATCAACTACCAGCCCAGTAAACATGCCGACGTCGGCCCGACGTCGGCCGACGTCGGGGTGACGTCGGCAACTCGGCATCGGCATGCCGACGTCGTCCCGACGTCGGTCCAACCTCGGCACGACGTCGGCTGGATGTCGGATATGCCCGCATGTTCCGACGTCCAGCCGAGGTCCAGCCGACGTCGGGCCGACGTCGGACCGAGATCAATTGCTGAGGTCCAGCCGACGTCGGGCCGACGTCGGGGCGACGTCGGACCGACATCGGCCGCTGTTTTGACCGTTAAAATAATATAAAATACATGTTTCATGTTTCATAAAGAGCTTCTGTATTCAAAATATCCTCAGGAAACTCAAATCTTCCTCCACGCCGCAACCCCCTGATCCGGACTGGACGGGAAACTTTATCCCATTTGGGATTGCCCGTAAGCCGAGCTCGCCCGTAGCCGGGTGCGGTGAGTGCTTGGGGGCTGCTCGGCCTATCCTTTGGTCAGGCTCAGCCCCGGCAACTCACCAGGGCCGGGCCCAGTTCATATAGAAAGGCCAGTCGGCAAGTGTCACTTTGCCAAAGTGCCACTTATCAAAGGGACACTTTGGGAAACGTTGGTGCAGGTGTGTAAGAGTGGCTATATGAATCCATTGCGGGGTCGCCCTTTCCAATAAGTGTCACGTAACAGCAATGGGACCAGGGACTCTATCTGAACTGGACCCAGGGTGCTCGCCAAGAAGACCAATGTCTCCATCCTATGATCCTTCCGGCTCTGAAATGGTCTTGTCAGACCGAAAGGGCATAACCGAACAAAACAAACCAAATTCGTTAGCTGGCTGCGTGGTGTAGTTGTTAGCGCACTGAGCGCACTAACCTCGCCTTCGAATGACACTGGGTTCGAATCCCATCGCCGGCTGATGCTTTTGGCGTGTTGTCCCAGTAAACATGCCGACGTCGGCGACTGGGGGGCTCGAATCCCGCCGCCGGTTGATATTTTTGGCGCGTTGTCCCAATAAACATGCCGACTTCGGCCCCGTCGGTCCAACGACAAACGATCTCGTCAACCTCGGCAAACGATCTCGGCCCGACGTCGGCTCGACGTCGGCTGGACTTCGGCTGGACGTCGGAACATGCGGGCATATCCGACGTCCAGCCAATGTCGGACCGAGGTTGAACCGACGTTGGGCCGACGTCGGGCCAACGTCGTCATGTTTACTGGGAGGGTCGACAGAGAAAGCAAAAATTATCCGACCATTGCAACCCAACGTTCCATTTGATGCGACACGCGGTAAGCGGCAATCGACAGTAGGTGTGTCAAAAATAATGAAGACAATGCATCAGTTTTCAGTCACTTTCTAGATCAGGTCAAAGATCATGTCAGAGGTCATCAAATGTCAAATTTTGCCGATTTCAAGCATTTTCGAAAAACCGGTGCATAGCTCGAAAACCAAAAAAGCTACAGCGCGTGAAAAAGCGCATTCGATAGGCCTTTTAACGGTTTTTCTTGGCTGTGACCTCAGATTTGACCTCAGGTCAACGGTTCAGCCTCGAGGGCAAAAACTAAAAATAACCGTTTTTGCGATGTTGTAGGTAGGTAATAACTTTTGCCTCTAAAGAGTCACGACATTACTTTTGCCAGCATTGTATTCCTCTCGTCGAGACGCGTCGAATGATGACCTTTAAGCTGACCTTGAAAGGTCCTTTGGAAAATTTGACCTCAGGTCATGAGGCCATGACCTGACCGGAAAAGGTCGTTTTGCATCAGCATATCAGTCGATCCGTATCGTCGAGCTGAGCACATCTGATGTGTTTTCACCGCTCTAACACGTCTCTATAAAAAGTTAAGTGTCAAGAAACTGCTGGGGACCTTTCATCAGGGGTGCGGAGTCGGAGTCGGAGTCGGAGTCGGAGTCGGTCGGAATCGACAGTTGTGACCGGAGTCGGAGTCGGAGTCGGAGTCGATTCTAGAAACCCGAGCCGGAGTCGGAGTCGGAGTCACCGAAAATCTGTCGACTCCGCAGCCCTGCTAGGTCTGCGCGGAGTCGGAGTCGGGAGTTGGAGTCGGTCGGAGTCGACAATTCTGCCCGGAGTCGGAGTCGGAGTCGGAGCTGGTTTTTGAAAGCCGAGGTCGGAGTCGGAGTCGGAGTCGCTGAAAATCCATCGACTCCGCAGCCCTGCCTTTCATGACCTGAGATGACCTCAAGGGCACAAAGAGAGGTCACGGATGTAATTTTTCGATTCAATGTGTCATGTTTATCTATAAAGCGATGTGATTGTTAAGAGCGACGTTCGTCCAAAAGAGGTACATTTCAATTGTCTCCCATTGACTCATAAAAGAGGTCGCAAAATTAACCTGACCACTTTTGATTTGAATTGATTGATGTCACAGATATCGAAATTCCAAGATACATTTTATACATAGGTACTGCTACTTTTATCCATCGCTGAAAGTTTCAAAATGATTGTTCAGCCGGTGTAGCTAAAGCGATCATTGGAACTTTTTCTGAAGTATGGTCACTTGGCGTGACCTGGTGACCTGACATTGAATGGCCCAGGAAAAGTGGCGCTGCGCGCCGCCATTTTTGAAATATTTAAGATAAAGCTGAAGGGGACGTATAGGCACCCCCCGCACGGCGCTTAAATATACTCGCAGTGTTTGCTTTCCAATCAATTAGGAAAATCAGCTACCTCAACAACAAATATTTCGCAGCGTATGCTCGCAATATACCTAACCGCCGACGCCGCAACGTTTCTAGCAGCTCCCTCGGGAATCCTTCGACTAAATTGCCGGCGTCTAAATGCATTGCAAGAGACTTGTGTTGCGGCTGACCCAAATATGCTGCTTAGGAGGCATGACGAGTGTGAGAATGTGTTAGCACAGCTGGACGCGTCCCCACGGCATCCCGAATCCTGGGCCGGGCGGGCCGCGGTACTGGCTCGGATAGCCTCCTCCACATCCAGAGGTGGTCCGTCTTGACTCGGTGCGGGTTCTCGGCACACGGCTCGGCGGACCGACGATGGCCGACGGATACGGGCCACTCGCGGAGCGGCCCGAGCCGGCCGCGGCACAGCCGACGGGGCCCCGGGGGGCGTCATGGCTGGTTGCGGACCGGGCGATCGCTCCCATGCCTTCAGCCTCGCCTACACAAGGCCATCTGCAATTGCTTTAGTCGCCACTGCTTTGCCATAGGGAAATTACATTGTGCTGTGTGCGCCATTGCAATCGCCTGCGATTGTGTGAAATTTTTGTGCGCCACTGTGTCGCGTACCTACGAGCTACGATGCTATAATTCCTATAGTGTGCACCGTTCTGCCGCCTCCAAAGATGCTAGTGCCTCTGTGCGTCACTGCAGTCTCCTATGGTGTTAGTGTAATGTGCGCTTCTGCAGTCACCTATGACGTAGGTACGAGTGCACTGGGTTCGCCACCGCAGCCCCAAATGGTGTTAGCGTTCTGTGCGCCACTGCAGTTTCCTACGGTGCTAGCGTTATATGCGTCATTGCAGTCTCCCACGGCGTTGGCTGATGTAACGGTCGATCCCCTGTTCGACGAATTGTCTCGAGAGAACCAACGCACCTGTGGGTTCACAATGAATAAAAAAGCAGGCGCGAGGGTGTAGATGGGAGAGAGGAATAAAAAACTTACGTGCTGACACGCTGGCCGTCCTCTGTTGACTGATGCCCTGGCGTGCTGTGCCTCCCTTCCCACCCCTCCCCCACCCTGAGGCCATATGCACCGTCCTCCCAGCCTGCCTTGAGTGCGCGCGACTGCAGTCGCCACCGGTGTTAGAGTTTTGTGCGCTACTGCAGTCTCTCGGTGCTAGTGTTGTGTGCCACTCCTATGGTGTTAGCGTTGTGTGCGCTACTGCAGTCTCCTATAGGGTGTTAGCGTTCTAGCGCTACTGTATGTCTTCCGCGAGCTAGTGTTGTGTGCGCTTGCAGTCTCGTGTAAGGTTAGTGCTGTGTGCGACACTGCACTCTCCTAAGATACTAGTGTAATGTGCGCTACTGCAGTCGCCTATAATGTGTTAGCGTTCTATGCGCTGTTTGCAGTGGCTTCTACGAGCTAGTGTTGTGTGCGCCATTGCAGTCTCGTGTGAGGTAAGCATGTCACTGGAGTCTTTTATGGTGCTATAGTGTTATGTGCGCTACTGCAGTCTCCTATATGATGTTCGAGTGCGAAGGGTTTACCCACGGTTTACCAGTCACCACTGCAGTCCCCAATGGTGTTAGCGCTTTATGCGCCACTGCAGTCTGCCATGACGCTTGTGTGCGTCCTTGCAGTCTCCGTGTTAGCGTTATGTGAGCTACTGCAGTCTCCTATGGTGTTAGCGTTGTGTCCGCTATACTGTAGTTTCCTATGGTGTTAGCGTTGTGTCCGGTAACTGCAGTTTCCTATGGGGCTAGCGTTCTGTTCGCCCCTGCAGTCTCCTATAGTGCTAGTGTTATATGCGTC